TTTAAACTGTTCAGTCATAGAGAACCGCATGGGTTTATATTTTCCTAAAAGGCATGCCAAATGTACCACTTTATTTTTTAAAGTTTTTTTTAAAGACTTATTTATTTTTATTGAAAAGGCAGATATACGGAGATCTGTCCACTGAATCACTCTCCAAATGGCCGCAATGGCCGGAGCTGAGCTAATCCGAAGCCAGGAGCTAGGAGCTTCTTCTGGGTCTCCCATGTGGGTGCAGGGTCCCAAGGCTTTGGGGGTCCTCGACTGCTTTCCCAGGCCACTAGCAGGGAAGCTGGATGGGAAACAAGGCTGCTGGGACATGAACTGGCACCCATATGGGATCCGTGTGCATGCAAAGTGAGGATTTAGCCATTAGTCTACTGTGCTGGGCCCCAATGTACCACTTTAACATTTAATAGCTCTCATTTCAACCAGCATTAAAGAATGCCTAATTTTCAAGTACTACTTAGTAATAATTATCAACTTATTATTATTATTTTTTTTACACCTATACACCTAACAGACAGGATGCATTCTTGCCAGTGGTAGCAGTAAGAACTGGTAGCATTAAGAATCACTTATGAGGAAGAGAGGACTGGATGAGCTACTTGTGTGTACCAGAAATCCAAGGAGTGTGGGCAGTCTCCTCAAGGTGGGCCACCCCCTCCCACCAGGGTTGTTGAGAATCACTTGACCAGGTATCACTTACCTTCACTCTATATTTTTCCCTATGTTAAGTTAAACCATATGAGTGCTTGATAACTGTAGTGAAACAGTGTTACTACCACATAACTAATGCTGGTTACTTACATTATAGAGTCGATGCAGCAGGAATCAGTTATTCGAAAAGGACGTTCCTGTCTTTAAAAAAGAAAGCTACAGTTGAGGGTCTCACCCTTCTTGTTTTTCTGTTCTATTTATATAATAATTTCATAGAGTAAGTACAGACTTGAGTTTTACTTAATGAAACAAATACTAGTGGGATTCCTGTAAGAGTATTTTCTCTGCAACAGAAGATACGTTGAGTCTCAGGAAATCTGCTTTCAAATTGTGTTCTAGCTGTTAGCTAGACAGTGGATACACAAGGTTTTTAGCTCCAAAATGCAGTATCTAATCAGAGTTATGACAACAGAATGCACACAAACACCTTCCATTCCTCCCTTCTGCTAGAATGCTCATGGAAGGTTACTGCCAAAAGGTCGTGCTTGGAAATCTTCATCTTAGATGCTCAGAATTAAATGTGTATTGGATCTTGAAATTTTTATTTTTTTTTTTATTTTTTTTTTAAAGATTTATTTTTATTATTTTTTCATTGGAAAGGCGGATATACAGAGAGGAGAGACAGAGAGGAAGATCTTCCGTCCGATGATTCACTCCCCAAGTGAGCGCAACGGGCCGATACTATGCCGATCCGAAGCCAGGAGCCTCTTCTGGGTCTCCCACGCGGGTGCAGGTTCCCAAAGCTTTGGGCTGTCCTCGACTGCTTTCCCAGGCCACAGGCAGGGAGCTGGAAGGGAAGTGGGGCTGCCGGGATTAGAACCGGCGCCCATATGGGATCCCGGGCGTGCAAGGGGAGGACCTTTAACCACTTGCGCCACCGCGCCGGGCCCGGATCTTGAAATTTTTTAAAAGATGTATTTATTTTGCTTGGAATCTTGCTCTGAAACTTTCCAGAGGAAGAAAGATCCTCTGTCTGCTGGTTAACTGCCAAAATGGCTGCAAGGACCAGAGCTGGGCCAGTCTGCAGCCAGGAGCTTAGGGCTTCATTAGAGTCTCCCACACGGGTGCAGCAACAGAGAGCTTGAGCCATCCTCCACTGCTTCCCCAGGCACATTAGCAGGGAGCTGGATCGGAAAGTGGAGCAGCCAGGGCACAACTTGCTGCCTAAATGGGATGCTGGTGCAGACAGGCGGAGGATTAGCCTGTTATGCCACTGTGCCGGCCCCAGTTCTTGAATATTTTCAAATTTTGAAATATTTGCATATTTTTATGAGATCTATTGGGACTGGAACTCTAACCTAAACATGAAATTGAATTATATTTTGTATGCTCCTTAAAGGTATGGGTTTATTTGATGAAATATTTTTAGAGTATCTGTATTTTGACTGTGACCTAGCACAAGTCCAAGTGTAAAGTCTTGCACTGTGACATGATGTTAGCACTCAGAAGCTTTTGCGCTTTGGAGGATGTTGGACGTTCAGGTTAGGATGTTAGATTTAACATTAGCAGTAACCCCAGCAACATAGTATTAAATGAGGCTCCTGGCACTATGCTCTCAGTTACTGTTGCTTGTTATCATTTAAAAGAAAAGATACATTTGCAATTCAATTTACAGGTTCATACCTCAATGACGGATACAGATTTTCAGATTTGTCTATAAAGCATGGGGGAAAAAACCCAAATATGATGGAATTATAAAATGAAGAAATTTGTAGTTGTAAATTCTAGAAGTATAAGAAATGTATTTCAGTTTCAAAAGAAAATCTCAGTATACTGAAATGTTGAATTGTTTTTTGTTTGTTTTAAAGCTTCATTATATTGGAAGTGGCTTTTCATTTACTGTGTCTGCTTTTGATTTTTACAGTTAAAAAATGGAGTTTAAAAATAAAAACGAAATGAATATAGGACATGTAAAAGTCATTCAGAAGATAAACACACAGTTGTGAGGAAAGCTTGACCGTTAAGGGGAAAGCGTGAAACAGTCCTTTGCGAGCACAGAGCAGTCGCCCTGAGAGTGGGACTTGCATGGTTTCCTGAGAGGATCAAGCAAGAAGACAGAGGGTTAAGTTGCAGCACAGATTTTAATTTTATCTTAGGAAAAAAATCTTCCAGTAAAAGGAAGGACATACCAAGAGTGCTGGAGCACCTCCCCTTGGAGAGTGCGCACTTGGACTCCACAGCTGTTTCTGTTGCCCACTCCTGTTCTGCCAGAGCGCCAGTCCAGCTGATCCTGTTGGGAATACTGTTCGGGCAGTAGTTGTGCTCAGATAGAAGGCATTGTTGGTTATCTTAGCTGAGGGTAAACTTATCAGTTTCAATGTGTGCTATTTCTCTTCAGTCTTTGTATTCTGTCACCTCTATTGCTGAGCCCCGTGACTTCTATTCCATCAGTCCCGGTCCTTGCAACAGGGTGAGAAAACACAACTGATTTGAAGAGGGAACTTAGATGGCATTTTTGGAACTGGAAAAACTAAATGCTCGTGCAGTCTAGATTTCTGTACTTTGGGATTTCTGTGTGTGCTTCTCAAAGTTCACATTGTGTCTCAGTGTTCTTCTCTTGGGGTTTTGATCATACTGTTTTTACTTTTTCTGATTGCAAGTTTGTCTTTTCTCTGAGTGTCAGAGTAAGAGAAGTCATTCTCCAGCATCCTTGTTCTTGACCTAGGCAGGTGCACATTAAGTGTTAATGCAAATTAAAGGATAAGTTGCCAGTTTTCTTTGAAGGCATTTTTAACTCCTCAGCCAAACATCTTCAAATACCTTTTCATCACTTCAGAGCTTCTTTTTTATTCTTTACTCTAAACCCAAAATACAAAGCCCTAAGTTGAAAAAAATTATACTACATAAGAAGAAATGTTTTCTGGGTCTGACGTAGTAGCCTAACGGTCAAAGTCCTCACCTTGAACACACCAGGGTCTAATTTGAGTACTGGTTCCAGTCCCTGTGGCCCTGCTTCCCATCCAACTCCCTGCTTGTAGACTGGGAAAGCAGTCTAGGACGGCCCAAAGCCTTGGGACCCTGCATCCACATGGGAGACCTGAAAGAAGCTCTGGGCACCTGGATTCGGATTGGTGCAGCTCTGACCATTGAGGCCGCTAGGGAAGTGAATCATTGGATGGAAGATCTTCCTTTCTGTCTCTCCTCCTCTCTGTATATCTGCCTTTCCAACAAAAATAGATAAATCTTTAAAAAAATGTTTTCTAAGAAAGAAAAATGACTATAATGTTCAAAAATGGCCATCATAGATCTGGGATGACAACCCATTTCTCTACCTTAGCAATACTTGGTTCTACCAAACATGAGGAAAAATGGAAGAATATCAGACAGATTATGAGAATATAGAAACACAAAGAAGAAGTTTCTTGAGATCTGCTTAATTTGAATTGTAGCAAGTCCCCAGATCCACTGGCAATTTAAAAGTGTATCTTTATTTGGAGGAGCAGATTGTTTAAAATCTATCTGTATGTACATTTTAGTATGTTTACGTATATGATAATGTGTATATTTTGAAGATATAGCAGGAGAGATGTGGTTTTTCCTGTGTATGTTTGAAGCACAGACCACCTCTGACAGCACATGCCAAACAAGCAGGCAGTTCTGCTGCCGATCCCAGCTGGATGTCTTCCAGTCCAGCTCAGCTCCGCCCCATCCCCCTGCAGGTGGTATCAGGTCCAGCACTCGCTGTCCCCCATTAGATGGATGCCTTTTTGTAAACTCCATGCTTTTGATTCGCTGTAAAATCAATTCTGTAAATGATTCCTCTTACTCTATCCTTAGGTGTGGTTAATTTGCCTGGCTTACAGAACTCAGGGCAACACTAAGGCTTACTGGTTTGTTATAAAGGATATTCCACAGGAAGCAGATGAAGAGAGGTATAGGATGTGAGGTAAGGTGGAAGAGATGGTGGCACTTCTGTGCCCCTGTAGCGTTATGAGCCACACTCTGGGACCCCCACGGCCAGCTTTTGGGGAGGTCCCTGTGAGGTTTCTGAGGCTTCATTGCAGAAACATGATTGCTAGTAAAGTGGTGTGCATACCCATAAAGGCCCAACTCAGCGTTCTTCCTGGTGGCGTGTGTAGCCTGCCTTGTCCTAGGGTACAGGAAATTCAAGTTACTTTAACCTGCTTTGAGGAAGAGAAATTCTCATTTTAGAATCTGCTTTGAGAAGGAAGTTAGGAGCCAGACAATATGTATGAAAACCAAAATACAGATAAGAATATTTTAGTTTTATAACTACATAGGGTATGTAACGGTACTCTGTGCTTTCTGTCTTTGCAATGCAGATATGAATATCACTGGGCCGATGGAACAAACATAAAGAAGCCCATCAAGTGCTCTGCACCAAAGTACATTGATTACCTGATGACTTGGGTTCAGGACCAGTTGGATGATGAGACGTTATTTCCATCAAAAATTGGTATATTATATCCTTGTAATATGTCATTAATTGTATCATTTTACATGTTTCTAGCATTGTCCTTCCCACCCTATATAGTTGAAGAGTTTGGTAGTGTTGCATTATGTATATGGTATGTACCTCCCAAGAAGAGACACAGAACTTGTTAATCTAGTGTTATTAAGCAAACTATCCCATGTGAATTGGTTTTATCCTTTTTTCTTATCCTTTTTACCTTAGCACTGAAGGACAGGTTTATTGACTTAAAATAATCAAATTGTTGTAAAATCATTAAACTTTGTTAAATTTTTTGGTGCTTTTCCAGACTGGCACACCAACCAAATTTATTTCCAGTCAAGGAGGGATTTTGTTGTTGCATTTTATTTTGTTTCACTTTGTTTAATAACATACACACACAGACCTATCTCTTTCAGTGGAAAATTCTAGATAGAGCCTTATTCCTGTTCCAGGTACCAGCCTGAGGTACCATTTCTGTCAAATGTATTTCTAATCTTACTCATTTAAAACTCTTCTACTTTTTTCCACACCAGGCTTATCGTGTACTTTGAGATAAACCTTGCTGTAATTAAAAATGATAAGAAGATGAATATGCCTAGGATAATAATAAAATCTGACTTACCTTATAGAAAAATAGAATGATCTTTAGCAGGCAGTGAGTAATGTCTGCTACGGTCATGTCTTTTATATTTGGGAAAAGACTTATATTGGTTGTATACAGTTGTACATTGTACTTGTAAAGACAGTTTTTATTTATTTATTTAATTGAACAGCACAGTTAGAGAAGGAGAGATAGAAAGAGAGAGTGGGAGGTATATATAGAGATTTTTCACCCGCTAGTTCACTCCCCAAATGGCCACAATGGCTGGGGCTGGACCTGCTGAAGCCAGGAACCAGAAGCTTCATCTGGGTCTCTCACCTGGGTACAGGGGCCCAGACAGTTAGGCCAGCTTCTGAGGCTTTCCCAGGGAACTGTATTGGAAGTGGAGCGACTGAGATTTGAACCAGTGTGCATACTGGATGCCAAAATCACAGGTTGTGACTTAACCCACCAAGCCATAGCTTCAGCTCCAAGTTTGGGTTCATGATGCATGATTTAATGTTACATATCTGAAATCAAGCTATGTAAGAGGAAATAAGATTTGATGAATTAGTCCATTACTGATTGGCTTTTTAGTTTACTTTCAAGGATAGAACTTTCAAGTAGAAATGGTTTGCCTATTTTTAAACATAGTATTCATTTTATTATTAGAAAAGCAGAGTTAAAGAGAGAGGAAGACACACAGAGAAAGATCTTCACCCGCTCATGCACTGCCTAAGTGGCCACAGAGGCCAGGGACTGGGCCAGGCTGAAGCCAAGAGACTGCAACTCCCATCTGGGTCTCCCCTTGGGGACCCCAGATACCTGCACCCTGGTGCGTTAGGAGGGAGCTGGATCGAATGTGGAGCAGGCAGGACACAAACGCACTCGTATGGGTGTCGCAGATGGCAGCTTAACTCACTGCAGTGTTGTTCGCTGCAGACAGTTACACGTTTGTACTTTTTAGAAGTTCCTACCACTGTGTTTTTGACTGTATTACATATTACATGCTCTTTTTGGAGAGAGTGTGTGTGGGAGAAGACAACAGTGTAAATAGATGCTGTTACTTTAAGGTTTCAAACGAATTTTTGTGAATATAAACATTTTGGAGTTTTATAATAAAAAGCTGTTTACAAGATTGCATTACTTATATATGCATCATAATGTTTCCCAATGAGTGTCCCTCCTCTCATTTATTTTTAGCTTCTGGACCCCATTTTATTTTATTTATTTATTTTTTATATTATTTTTATTGATTACATTGCATTATGTGACACTGTCTATAGGCTCTGGGATTCCCCCAACCCCTCCTCAGGCCCTCCCCCCATGGTGGATTCTTCTACCTTGTTGCAGTATTACAGTTCAAATTCAGTCAAGATTCTTTCATTGCAAGCATAGAGTCCAGCATCTTATTGTCCAGATAAATTCAATGGTTTCTTGGGGAGACCATCTCTGGTCTGAAAGCAGAGCTGGCAGATTATCATCCCGATCAATTAAAAACCACAACATAACATCAACATCAATTTACAACATTATAGAATTAATTGACATGGTATTGAGCAACAAATATGTTAAAAACTGAAAGTTCTTAACCACATCCTGTGACTACTTCATTGACATTTCCATTTTAATTTATACGCAAAACCAGCTGCTATATACCTTAAAATGGCTATAGGGTACTATTTAGCTGTCTCGTGACTATTTTCATTTTAGCATTCAGCAGTTTGTAGTGTTGAAGCTTAATTTTGCTGAACTTGGCAGATTTTGGGATAGTCTAAACTGGCTTATAACTAACAAGGCATATGTCAACAGTTGAAGTGCAGAACAGTTTTAGGAGGGGTGTACAGAGAAGTCTTCAAAACCTTAATGAGAAGTAACTAATCTTTGTGTCCTACCTAGTAGGGCATGTGTGAGTCCCCACTGACTGTTTCCTGTCTGGTTCCAAGCTTTCCTTGTTGTTCTCTATTCCAATTTGTGTGTGTGTGTGAGAGTGTGTATGTTTTGGGGTGGGGGGCTCTGGAGCAACCCTGATGGTCATTGCAAGAGAGGGTGGGGATCCAAAGTTGAACTAAGTAAGGACCAGAGAAAGCGCCTCTCCCTAGTCCTGAAAGAAGCTTACTATTCTTCTCTTTCTGTGGACTACTCAGGGCCTGGACCCCATTTTAAACAAACCAAAAATTTGTGAGAATTACAGAGAATCTTACACATTAATTTCTTCTTCTAGATTCCTTAGTTGTTAACATTTTTCCAGTGTTGCCATATCTTCTCCCATCCTTTTGCCTACACTCAAGTCTTTTACCTAGAAGTATTTCAGTATGTATTTTCTTAGGAATAAACTGTAGCATGAATGATCAAAATAAAAAATTAACAGTGATAACATACTGTGTTATTTATTATATGGTTTTTGCAGTTTTCCCAATAATAATAATCTCTGTGGCAAAACAGACTTTTTCATGCTTGTTTTCATTCAGCTCTTTCTCCTTACCTTTCTTTGGCCTGGAATATGCCCCTTAGTCTGATTGGTTTTTGTGACATTGATATTTGTTGGTTTTACATATTATCCTACAGAACGTCGTTTCATGTTGGTTTCCTGCTTTTTCTAGAAACGTACAATATTTGTAAAATGAGCGCCAAACTCACAGCTCAGTAATACCACAGTATTTGACTTCTTGATAACATGGATCATTTAGCCAGTTTAGCAAAGAATATGGGATTTTGTGTGTGTGTGTTTTAAGATTTATTTTACTATTATTTGAAAGGCAGAGAGAGAGAGAGAGAGACAGAAAGAGCCTTCATCCACTGATTCACCCCAAAAGGCTGTAAGGGCCGGAGCTCAGCCAGTCTGAAGCCAGGCGCTTCCTCTTGGTTTCCCACATGGAGTGGGGCCTAAGGATTTGAGCCATGCTTTGCTGCTTTGCCAGTCCATCAAGAGAGAGTTGAATTGGAGTGGAGCAGCCAGGACATAAACCAGTGCCTATATAGGATGCCACTGTTGCCAAAGGAGGTTTAGCCTTAACTCCATGGCACTGGCCCCTTAATTTTGTGTTTTATTTTTTTTTAAATAAATTTTATTATATTCATTTAAGGTATGTAGCATGATGTTATGATATATGTACATATACACACAACACATATATGTAATAGGTAGTAAATATGTAGTTAAGTTATCTCCATCATCTCCTATGGTTGCCTAGTTTTCCCCCTGTGGCAAGAACAAGTATAATTTACTCAGTTAGCCAAAATTCCTGCTCACAATACACTATAGTTAACTCTAGTCTTTACATTGTTCATTAGGTCATTGGACTTGTGCATCCTACATATCTACTACCTTATGTCTTTTATCTCTGTCTTCCTATTTTCCTTTCTCTTCACCTTGCCCCTGGTAAGCACAATTTTATTCTCCATCTCTGTATATTTTGCTTTTTTTTTTTAATTCCACATATAAATGAGACCATCAATATCTTTTCTTTCTGTGTCTTCCTTCTATTTTACAAAACCACACTGTGGGCGAACTGCAGGATCTTCTTAAAGGCTGACTAGTATTTCTGTGTGTGAATGTCTATGCATACGTCTCAGTTTGTTTATCTTTTCACCTGTTGATGTGTACTTTGGTTGTTCCCGTATGTTGCCTTTTGAGAATAATGCTGCAATAAACGTGGAAGTGGAGATGATATTTCCTTTGTCTGTTCACGTAGAAGCACCATGGATGAGTATTATGGTGGTTCTGTTTTTATTTTCTTTAGGAACGAGTGTACTGTTTGCATTAGTGGCTGCAGCAGTCTGCATGCTTGCCAGCAGTGTCCACGGCTTTGCTTTTCCCCACAGGGATGCTACCTTTATCAAAGTGCTCCGATACACAACACAGTGAGCCTAAGCGAACAGAGATGGAGGCTTGTTTCTGGACACATGTAGACATCATATCCACATGTATGGATATGATTTTTAAACAAAATAGAGGATGTTTAAAGCATGATTTACATTTACCATATGTTTGTACTGGGACTTATGTGATGAAATTTGGGTATCTGTGTTTGTCATTTATTTTAGCTTCATTACCATTCCAGGAGCTTGTTTCATTTTAGTTAAGTAATGGTGCATTAGAACAGGCTGTAGTGAAGACTAGTTCTAATGGCTAGAAGCTTTGAAGCTGACTTATGTGGGATGGTGAGAACCTCTGGAGGGTAAAATTAGTATGTAAAGTGGTAATTCACAAATGCTACTTCCTTTGGGTTCTATCTTCAGAGCTTGTTTTGCACTTTGCTTACAAGCTTGGTCTCCCGTGTTCTCATTTCTTGTTAACAGGGGGTTGTTTATCTCTCTGCTAGGTGTCCCGTTTCCGAAGAATTTTATGTCTGTGGCGAAAACGATCCTCAAACGCCTGTTCAGGGTCTATGCTCACATTTATCATCAGCATTTTGACCCTGTGATACAGCTGCAGGAGGAAGCTCATCTCAACACATCCTTCAAGCACTTTATTTTTTTTGTTCAGGTAAATTGGATTGGGAGGTGTGGGTTGGTGCCTTGAGTAAGCATTTATCTTCTGACTTCAAACGGTGAACACTACCTCGACATTGTCAGGATATAATTTGCCATAGCTATAATTTGCAGCCTGTTTCAAACTTTCCACTATGACAAGGAGTGGCCTTTGAATATCATTAGTCTCTAAATTGATGGTAAGTCTGCAATTGATCTGAGAGAGGCTGCCTTGGATTTGCTTTAGCAAACAGGCCAAAATGGAGGAAGGAACCCCAAATGCCTGCAGAAGCTGGTGCGGGGCCAGGTTGAAGCCAGAATCTCGAACCTCCGAGCTAGGTTTCTCTGTGAGGGTGGCATGAACCCAGCTTTGCTGCCTCGGAGTGTGCTGCTAAAGGACACTGAGTTGGGAGAGGAGCTAACTTAAACCCCTGATACTCTGATATGGGATGGGAGAGTTCCAGCTAGAATCTTAGGCAGCAAATGCTCGCCCCTCTGCCTTTAAAACCATATTCTAAATAATTTTTAAGATAGTTACTGTTCATCATGTGTGAAGGAGAATTATGTTACAAAGAACATTTTTGTTCCAGAGGTCTGTTAGTCCTTGGCCTGTCTTCCCAGGTAACCTCCCTTTTGTTTAGTCTGCATGGAACTGGCATTAGAAACATAGAGTAAGGTTTGGTGAGATGGCTTAGTGGCTAAATTCTTGCCTTGCCCATGGTGGGATCCCATATGGGCACCAGTTTGTGTCCCAGGTGCTTCACTTCCCATCCAGCTCCCTGCCTGTACCCTGGGAAAACAGACAAGGATGGTGCAAAGCCCTGGGACCCTGCATCCACAAAGGAAACCCGGAAGAAGCTCCTGGCACTGGGTTCGGATTAGGCTCAATTCCTGCTATTGCGACCACTTGGGGAGTGAACCAGAGGATGGAAGATCTTTCTCTGTATTCCCTTCTCTCTGCAAATCTGGCTCTTCAATGAAAATAAAATAAATCTTTGTTGCTGGAGTCCAGCTCCAGCCGAGTTCGGAGCTCGGGAAGGGTGCGTGGAGTCAGCGATAAAGAAAGACACAGACACAGACACTTGGTGCGTTCTCACAACAGCTCAAAAAAAAGCTGTCATTTTTATTTACTCAGACACCTTACAAGCTTCTGCACAAGCAACTAATTATTCTATTTTTACTTCAAGACTAAGGGGGCATGTACAGACATTTGGTCATTCCGTCTGCACTTCAAGGCTAAGCAGGTGCCCCTAAAGATAATTCTGCAAAATACTGTATTCATATTCTTCAAAGCAAGCCATTATTCATTCTTCAACAGTAGCCATGGAGCAACAGCCAGGACTCCAAGGCCAAGGCTCATGCGATTAGCTGCTAATCAGTAGTACATTCCTACCACATTTCTGTTTCTACAATTCACATATTATTTAATGTGAAAATAGGTTACAAGGGAAAAACCTAAAATCTAAAACAGAAACTTCAAATGTTAAATCCCCCTACAACTATAGACTCCAACTCCGTAAACAATAAAGCAATAATCAAAAGCATTTTTCTTTAATAAAAGCATCCTTAATTCCTCTAGCTAAAAATTATAAAAGCGACTAAAACAATTACATTTTCTACACTCCTAAAAATTGCAAAGACAAGCTAGCCTTTGAGATAACAATAACTATATTTATTGCCATAGCAGTTTCAGCTCTCACTCCCATCAGTTGCATTAGTATTTAAGACATATATATCAAGCCCCTTCCCAGAGGGTGTGCTGTATGTCTGGGCCAGGTTCTGAGACAATAGTTAGCACACAATAAGGTGTCCAAAAATGGCATGGGCTTAAATGTGCTCCTGTGTGTAAATTGTCAAAGGCCCACTCACCAAGACATTATCAGTGACATTAACTCTCAAGCTACATCGGTTCCAAAACCTGCAATGTGGCAAACATCAATGCCTTAATCGAATACAGAATTCTAGTGGGGTGCTTGGGTGTCCATGCAACCAAGGGGTGAAACAGCATCAAGGTGGTCAGAGAGACTTCCGCTGGGCCTTGCCTAACAGCTGGAAGCTCCCCCAGGCCTTGCCACACAGGGAGCTGTTCTCTTCACACCTTTGTGTCATCCATACCCACTGCATGGACCCCAGCACTTTCTTAAAAAAAAAAAAAAAAGTAAAATAAAATAAGAATCATTGACTAGGGGCTGTGAGACTTCACTTACTCTGCTATAATTAGAGAAATAACCAGGAAGGGTGAAGAAGAGGTAGAGATGGACAGGCTTGATTTACTAGAAGGGCAGAAGGGAGAGGTTGAGAGAAGGGTGTTGATCTGGAGAAGCTCCAGCTCTGAGTTCATGCTGTTTTTCTCAGCTCTGACCATGAGTGTGTCTACAAATACTTCCTTCACTTGTCTTCACCACTAAAGAACAAAGTACGTCAAGAATTCCTCTGTATACACTCTCACTCTGAAGACATATGCACACGTTATGTTTCAGTTGCACCTTTGTGGAGTTTGTAACCTGCCAGAACTGTTGCTGTAAACACTAACTATGATATCCCATTTGCAGACCCATAGAAACAAAACATTAGTCTTGCATATGTGTTTTGGTTTAGCAACATATGATTGCTGAAGTTTAGGTTTCAGGGTTTGGAAGAGTATTTTCTTCCTCCAAAAGACTTCGTTTTACATTATAGTCACAAAATACCATTGTTTTCCAACTGCTATCAAACGGTAGGGGATTGACAACATATCATTTGACAATTGTGATCTGATCCTTTTCATCTCTGGGAAGCCTGTGTTTCTTAGAGGTACATCCGCTGCTTGTATAGGATCACACTTTGATTAAGTAAGAGCAGCACCTGCCCTAAACCATACAGTTATTTTAAAAAAAAGATTTACTTAAAAGGCATTTGCAGAGAGAGAAAAAAAAAAGAGAGAGAATGCCCAAGAGGTCTTTCATCCACTGGTTCATCCCCCAAATGACTGCAGTGGCCAGAACTGGGCTGGTCCAAAGCAGCAACTTCTTCCAGGTCTCATATGTAGGTGCAAGGGTCCACTTAGATGTAGATGCCGGTGCCACTTGTGGTGTCCTTATGACTCCATGCTCGCACAATTTTAGATTTATTCTGGGTCTGCTGCTGCTGAAACTCCTGCCCGCCTCTTCCTGCTTTCCAATCCCACCCCTCCAGGCCCATCAAGTGAAGAATCCGTGGAACCAGGAACATACCTACTTAGATTTTTCAAGCTTATGCTTAGGTATCTGAGACCCCAAAGTTCTCTGCCCATATCCAGCTGTATGTCCAGGGTCTCCATGGCCCTTTCCTGTGTATCCATTCTTTGGAAGGTAGAACTGAGGGATAGCCCGTGGCTGCTGTTCATGAGGGTATGCAAACATACGCCATGTGTGCCAGCCAGCAAGTGGCCCTTTGAGGTGTAGGACCTAGGAGGTGAGAAGAGCCCAGAGGCTTTTGGAAGGCTAGGAACCTGGTTCATCAGGACCATTGACTCCCCTTGGGTCATAACTTAGGAGTCTTGGAATTCTAAATATGAACCTGCTTTCCTGGTACTGTGAAGGTAGGTATATTTGTCCAGGTAGGCGAATGGAATGTGTTCAGTTTCATAACATGTTAGCTAAATGTAAAATATTAATAATTTAGTCATGTGGTGTGTTTCCATCTACATTCTTGGCTCAGAAATCTTCAAGGCAAGCCTACAACTGAATGCCTCCCAATGATTCTGGTTACTTACTTACGTAACACCTAACAGATCTTAATAAAGGATTAAATTGGTAGCTGAAAAGGCCTCACCATGACAGAAAAATGGATGTAGAGGCAGTTTCCATTTATTAGCTGTGAACTAGAAGTTGAGAGAAAAGTATGTTCAGAAGTGAATTTTCAAATGATGGGAGTAGAACTGCTCAAAATGCGTAAGTTAAATCCAAGCTTTTTCATTTCTTCTTTACAGGATTGTATCATTGGTGAACTCTGTCTTGTTTATGTGTTTCTCAGATCACATCTTTTGATAGCCTGCAGATACATGTGTTTATAACCTGGTCTTATTAGCATATAATACTTATATTTACCTATGAAGCTAGAGGTTTTGATCCCTCTTTGGCTGACTTTGTACGTATTTAAGCAGTATGCTGGCTAGTCTTTTCATTAAAAAGCAGCAACTCCCAGGTGCACTGTGTTGCGGAAGGCCTTACAAGAAGTGCTTAACATCATCGTCACAGATAGTCTCCCAGTAGTTTTATGAGATTGGGGCATTTATCCTAATAGTAGATGTTATTAAACAAAATCAGGAGTGTTAAACGATTTGTCCATAGAGCTAAAATAATAGAAAAAAGAAATCAAAGCTTTTTTATTTTTTACTTCAAACACAAATTTCCAACAAATGCTATTGGTGCTGCGCTTTAATAATGTTATGCTGTTTTAATTATTGCCATTTTTGTTTTTATCGTGCATAGGAATTCAACCTTATTGATAGAAGAGAACTCGCACCACTCCAAGAACTGATTGAAAAACTCACCTCAAAGGACAGATAAAAGGATACAAGCTTGAATGTTCCTGAAATGAAGCTGTGTGCAGTGTATTTGGGTCCTGGTTATGCTGTGTTTTTATCTACATTGTTCTGTCTTTGGTTTGGGGGCTTGTGTGGGTTCCTGGTTGTTTTTTTTTTTTTTTTTTAATTTTTTATCTTTGAAACCTTATTTTATTGATAGAGGAAGCCAAGAAACATTCTCTGTACTTTTGATAGGGATAAATTGTGTTTTATTGGTGTAGCTTTTTTAAAAATTAATTTTGATTACTTGGGAAATATTTTTGCAATATTCCTTGCTAAAAGAAAACACTTATTGATTGACATGCTGGCAGATGGGGTTCTGTATTGTGTAAATTGTGGCCCATTTTTCAAGTCCCCATAAGACTTTTATTTTTAAGTGCCTTGGCAGGCTCACGTCCGAAGTGCAAAGCACAGACACAGAACTGAACAGGGCTTGAAGCCATGGTAGGATAATACCCAGGGCACTCTGTGTGCATGCTATAAAACACCTGTGACAAAAGCCATAGCTGACCTACATTGGTGATCTCCAGCTTTTACTACATTGAAGAAACATAATTTGTAAAGGTGTGCATGTAGAACATAAAAAAAAACCCCCACAATATTTCTTAATTATTTTTTATATTGACAGTAGTAGAGTCTGCTCAACAAATACCTAAAAGTTCTACAAGCAGGTCTTTTCCATCTGTTGATATCTGTGATATTGAAACTTGAGGATGTTGAAATGTAATACATTTTACATTTTCGCTTCTTTTTACTGCACTGTAGGTGTAACAATTCAGGTTATATATAAAATTGCCATCTTCAGAGTTGATACTGAACTGTGAGGTTTCTTAGCAATTGCCAAATGAGCCATAAATCTGCAGAATCCCTTTCTACTTTGAATAGGAGGGGATGAGAGAGTGTGTTTTGTGAGGGAGGTGGTTAGTTTTGTGGGTAATGAGGGGTGGGGTTGAGTATAGGGAGTCAAGTTCTAGAAAGCCCTGGCTTAAAACCCTTGAAAAAAGAATGGTGTGAAGATTTTTTAAAAAGTAGGTAAAAAATAAGCAAAGTCTTAGAGGCTTCCTGTGAGGAATCAACTTCCATGAGAAGTTACAAATAAATTACTAATTTTAAGTACAGATATTAAGCATAGAACTTTAAGATGGGAGAAATCGATACCTTTTCAGCATTTCCATTCAGTGAATGGAGCTGGTCTTTTGCCTATCATTTTTAAATGATACAGTACCTTCTTTGCTTATTATAGGCTCAGTTTGAAGCTTTCTGACTCCTGCTGTTTCCACTGTGAGAAGTCTTTTCTTTGCAGTGATATCAAACAATAAAAATGCTGTACCTCCATAGTGAATTATTTCCATAAGTAACAAGTCAAGAAAGTTAGCTTTTAGAATGAAAGAAATACTAAGTTTTCACTTGTTTTATTCTTGAGAAATACCCGTTTCTGGCTTCTAGTTTTATTTTTGTCACTTACAGCAAATCTGCTTTCAGTAAGAAACACATGTCCTTTCAGTTAGAGAAACTGCCTCTCCCCTGCGCACCAGCAATGCGTGCTCTGAGAGCATATAAGGCACTTAGTTCCAAAACATCTACAATGAAATCAGTCTTTTTGTCATCAACAGAGCAGTGATAGAATTTAATACCATTAAAGTGATGACCACTAGGAACTGCCTTTTTCTCCACTTTACGTGTAGCAGGCACTTGCCAAGTACCAGAGGACATTTCAGGAGAGACTGGCAGAAACAGGTATCTTGGACTTTTACTGATCGTGCTTTTTCATAAACTTCACTGAGAGCTAGCTGATTTCTCAGACCTGTTAGTGTTCAGATAGATATCAACCAGTATGGGTCGACTGAGAAATGACATTGGGTGTCAGGCAATTTTAGTCCCACCTATCTAGGAAAATGAAGCTGTGATTACTGAGTCTCCCTTAAAGCAGTGCTTCTTACAGACCTCGTAAATAGAGGCTGCGATAGCCAAGTCAGAGATTGTTCTTGCTCTTTTAAGCCTTATTCATTAATACACTGTAAAATAGGAAGCTGTTTCTATAAATTAATGCTTTAATAGGATTTACTGTCCGAGTCCATGTAGATAGGAGTTGGTTTTCACTGTGCCAGAATCTCAGGTGCCTGCTTCTGAGTCGGGAAGTGAGGAGGTGTGTGTGAATGGAAGGGAAGTGGAGAGGCCTCCCGTTGTCCCCCGTGTTACAAGGCAACCGGTGTGGAAACGTCAGAACATCAGAACACGCAGGAAGGAGCTGGTTTACTAGAAAGGTAGTTACGATCGTTGGGTTCCTAGGGGAATTAGTAAGAGGCTCTTGTTTTATAAAATAAGAAAGTCAGGTTTTAGAACAGAACATGCTTTTAGGTGTTGATTGGAGTTGCTTCATTTCTTTTGCTTTAATTTATAAATAACCAACATAATTCTTTTCCTTCCTTCTCTTTTTACATAGATATAAAGCAGAGGCTAGCTTTCTCATCCTTTGAAAAAAGCATCAAACATACAGAAGCAAATTAACGTAGTTTTATTGTCTGGATGCATCAGTTAAGTTATGAAACACATTTTAGTCATTATTTTAAATGATGAAGTGGCAGTGTTGAGGAGAAATTGACAACAGTGGAAATCTTAGAGTTAGCAGTAAAAGCTGCTGCTGGCTTCCCTCCCTTGATTTGACTATTCCATTTTCCATAAAAACCACATTAGAATGCACTAAAGCAGTAAGCGTGTGTCAGTTAGCTGGTGGCTTTGCAGCCCAATTTATCTTGAAAGGTTTTAGATTGCTGTTTCATTGGGCCTTGCCGGTTAGTCAGCTGTAGCTTATAAATGGTCAGCATAAAATGAGTTAGGTGGGGTAAGGTAGGGTTAGTGTAGTATGTCTCAGACGGAGTTACTGTCTGGCGTCTGAGAATGGTGAAGCACTACAGGAAGTAGAGATGATGTGGATATTTTACAAATACAATCAGCAGATTCCATTCTTTTTGTATTATTTTCCTTGCTTATGGGAAAATGGAAATATAGATTTTCTTTTATACTCTTACCTTTCTGAGAGAGGTTTTAATGATCCGAATGATAGAATTTCCTTTTAAAATGCTTGTGTCATACCCCCGCATCCTAGTAAGAGCTGATCGTAGGTTGCCGGGAGCACTCCCTGCTCCAGCTGTGCCAGGACGCGCTGGCGTCTGTGTGCAGTGGAGAATAACCAGTAGTTGATGAACACGCAGAAGTGCAGTGCTTCTGGGAGTTTATTTTGAACATGTCACACAAATCAGTTTGTGACTGTCAAAGGAAGTGAGTTTCACCATTGTCGTTGCACTGAAAGCTTGCTGGGTGGCTTAATGTGACCTATCTTAATCCCCACACTAACTGGCTGTGCCTGGAGATCTGCACCGTAAGGGAAGTTTGAAAGAAAGTGACACACTCTGAATGTGCAGGACGGGACATGTGAGGAGTGGTTTCCGAGATCACTATCTTGCAGTACACAGCATCATTTAGATGTATAAATTTTACTTTAAAAAATTCTGTCTACTTACAGTTAAATCATTTTTTAAAACCATTGTTTTTCTCCAAAAATTGTTTCCTGTTTTGTTTCTTACCCTGAAAACTGTTGAATCTCATATTGGCTGCTATAGTAATTTTGATCGAATTTCTAATACGGAAGAATGGATCCAATATTTAAGATAGAAATAGTTTAAGAGAATTTTAAGCACTTGACTTTCATGCTTTTTTTGAAGCATGTTTTCTGTCACATAAGCAGTTTTACTTTATTAAAGACTAACAAAAATCGGATGCTTTGTGTTATGCTGAGTTTTAAGCTTACGTGTCACAAAATATTTACAATTATAATAATTTCATGTATATGTTGAATTTTTGAATGTCCTTTAAAAAGATATGGGGGCAGAGGTATAATTGTAATTTGGAAATGTGACTTTATTTATTGAAACTTATCTGGTATACTGAGACTTGACCTATTCTTAGAAACACAGCTGTACACTTTAAGGACCACTCCTAAAGTAATTAAATGCTAAGAATTTTTCCTGATAAGATTTATCATAGGAGTCATTTGTTGAGCTGTCAGCTTAGTTGTTCATGAGAAAATAAAACTTTGGAGGTAAAGCTGTTTTAAGATCTACTGGAAAAGTCTGAGTATGAAACAATTCTGAAGGCAGATGGTTTGAATTTTTACAAATCTGCTGAACTAATCACACAGATGTTGCATATTTGCCATTTGTACCTGAACAAATTACATTTGACAAAAGAAAACAGAACAAAATACTGGGTACTCGCAGTTTTTCAAATGTAGATTTGCTTTTCCTCATGTAGAATATATTTGAGAACTGTAGTACATAGAAAGATAGTAAAATCACTGGCCGTTCGTACCGCTTTTCCTGAGCCCTCTCCCCCCAGCTGACGCACACACAGGTGTGCAGGCACACACAGACACCTTGGAAAACAAGTTTTCATTGTTGGTGATTCTGGAGTACACAGGTTTCAGCCGATAGTTTCCTTTAAATGATGTCACTGAAGCAGATTATTAATGATATAGAGTAATACTTTTTATTATTTAATATTCTTTCATATTAATATTAAATTAGGTAGATTTTTTTTTACATTTTTGCACAAGTTTTCATTTTGTTTCAATACTCAGTTGTTTCAATTGTAAAATAGATGAGTGTGTTTTCATTTTAAGAACATTTTTATCCTTAAATTGTTCTGCAGAAATGACTATTTTTAGGGAAAATGGTTTTTTATAGCCACTAAATTGTATCTCTTATTTTTGTACATATATAATCAGGTGGCGAGGGCACCGATCTTTGTAGGAAATACTTTGTTCTATTTGAGTTTTTCCTACGTATTTAAGTGTTACCTAAAATTATCAACAGGAACAGTAATCTAGACTGAGAATACAGTGAACAAGAGAACACCCAAAGCGTGAAGGAGATCGCTTCTGAAGACAAAAACATAGGGTGCTGTCGGTGCTGGGGGCTGGATGGACGCAGAAAAGCAACATTGACATTGTGCAGGTGTCTAAGAGAATATTTCCAGACAGGATCCAGTCCTCGAGGAAGAGAGGGAAGGGATAAAATGGTCTAAAATAGGAAATATGGGCGCTGCATGGTAAACTGTGCCAAGATTATGCAAGTTGTAGTTATTATTGATCAGAGCTTGCTACATCATTTTGTTCTAAAGGGGATATTGAATGTCAGAAAATTTATACAATGTTTTATTTGAAAAATGTAAATAATGTATAGAGACTTGTATGTGATGGGATATTTAAATTATAGTTTTTTTTAAGGAACAAACTGAATGTTTATAAGAAATAATGAATAAATAGTTATGTTTGGCCATGAATCCTGACTGCATCTTTCTCCTTACTCTAGGTACTCTCACACTAAGTTTGTTCCAAGGGCAATATTTGTGTACAGAGTATGCTGAACATTTTGAATTTGTTGGGTGTTATTTTGATTATTTTATATAATGTTCATAACCCTGGAAGATAGTATCTCAGAGTGTTATGTGTCAGAAAGCCAAAGTTCAGAAATTGTACAAGTCATTGGACTAGAGTTTAAAAACCCTGATATGCCTGAAGGTGAAACAAATGCTTATATTTGTTTGTTTTCTATCATATAAATTACAATAAGAATATTTAGCAGAATAATGAATTATTTATTCACTTCTCCAGCAAGCTGTTTTGTCTTCATTATAGATCAGGGAATATTAAACACTATTCAAGAATCTTTTAGCCTGATACCAATTCCAGAAGAAAAGACATGTTTTAGAGATGGGCAGAGAATGGCTGTTTAATGTTTTTTACCTTCGAGGACTTTGCTGGGACCTTGCACTTGACCGGTTTCTGATAGTAGAGCCTGTAACTACCAGAGCCGCTAACGATAGAGGGGCTTTCGTGTCCAAGGCTAGTCCATGCCCTGTGACCTTCACATGCTTCAGCAGCACCCTGCCGTTCTGAAAATAATTACAAGGGGCTTCAAAACAGTTACTGAAGAAAATGGAGTTAAAGTATATTGTTCGATTTCTGTGGACTTTACGAAGCTCTCTCATAAACTTGTATGGTACAGTCAGTCACATTCTGATAAGTTTGCTTCACACATTGCCTGTTGTACTTACTGTAAATTGTCAATTCCTTATATAGAATTGTCTGGAGTATAGAATTTTCCGGTCAGCATAAAGATTCTACCTAATTACTCCCTTGAGGATTTGACAAACTTAAAATGCTATTTTCAATATATCCATTTATTTACTTTTTTGAACTTTACGCATCTGATGGTTCCTGTGCTCTGGAGTAGGTTAGTTTGAAGCACCCTGACTCCCCGTTCTTGTTTTTATGAGTTTTGTTTTCTAGGCAATTGAGAGAGTCGCAGGGGTAGACCCTCAAGGCTTCTTACAATTTCAGCATATATATATATATATATATGTAATATTTACTGCTTCATTGAGCATATTCTTATTAACATTCTTAAGCTTTTTTTTCAAGATTGATTTATTTATTGGAAAGTCACTTATACAGAGAGGAGAGACAGAGAGGAAGATCTTCCGTCCGATGATTCACTCCCCAAGTGAGCGCAACAGCCGATACTATGCCGATCCGAAGCCAGGATCCAGGAACTTCTTCCTGGTCTCCCACGCGGGTGCAGGGTCCCAAATCTTCAGGCCGTCCTCGACTGCTTTCCCAGGCCACAAGCAGGGAGCTGGAAGGGAAGGGAAGCTGCCAGGATTAGAACCGGCGCCCATATGGGATCCCGGGGTGTTCAAGGCGAGGACTTTAGCTGCTAGGCCACGCCGCCGAGCCCAAGCTTTTTTTTTTTTTTTAAGATTTATTTTTTCTTGGAAAGTTCTGCAGAGAGGACAGACACAGAGAAAGTTCCTCTGTCTGTTGGTTCACTTCCCAAGCAGCCACAACATCCTTAGATGACCTTATCCAAAGCCAGGAGCTTGGAGCTTCTTCCTGTCTCCCACACTGTTGCAGGGTCCCAAGGCTTTGGGTTATGCTTCACTGCTTTCCTAGGCCACAAGCAGGGAGATGGATGGGAAGTGGAGCAGCTGGGACACAAAATGGTGTCTGTAGGGATTCCAGGGTGTGCTATGCAAGGACTTTAGCCACAAGGCCAGCGTGCCAGGCCCAGTTTCTGCCTTTGCTTTCATTTTCTCAATTGGCTAATTTTCTTAATAAGCCTATATGTTATCAGCTAGAGTCTGGCTCATTCTTTAATTATACCAAAATACTGACGGAAGATTCTCCTGACTTGACTGCTGAGTGCCGTGTCTGTCTTCTGCAGTCTCACAGAAAAAGCCTAGAAAAGAAGGTGTTTTCTTGAGTTCAGTACAAACCTAACTTGAGGCTAATGGTCGCCGTCTCAGTGTGACAGTACCATCTCTTACTGCAAGCTATTAGTGTAGCTAACATTTCTACAGTGGGTAAGAGTGCTTATTTAACATACACAGTATATACACACTATTTTGTTACTGCTTTTCAGAGGCAGAGAAGGGGAGACAGAGAGCTCCCAGACTTACAGTTCATTTCCCAAACACACACACAGGTCAAAACTGAAGCCAGGAACATCTCCCTGTCACTCCTCTCTGTATATATCTGACTTTCCAATAAAAACAAATAAATCTTTAAAAAAAAAATGGGCCCGGCACTGCAGCCTAGCACCTTGAATGGGCTGGGATCCCATATGGGCACTGGTTCTAATCCAGCTCCTTGCTTGTGGCTTGGGACAGCAGTTAAGGATAACCCAAAGCCTTGGGACCCTACACCCATGTGAGAGACGCAGAAAGAAACTTCTAACTCCTGGCTTCCGATCGGCTCAGCTCCAGCTATTCTGTCCATTTGGGGAGTGAATCAGTGGAAGGAAGATCTTCTTTGTCCTCCTCTATATATCTGTCTTTCCAATAAAAATAAGTAAATCTTAACAAGCTAAAAACCCCTGAAGCCAGGACTCAGCCATATGGGTGGCAGGGGCTCAGCTGTTTGAGCCATCACTTGTTACCTCTTAGGGTCTGCCGTGACAGGAAGCTGGAACAGGAAGACAGCTTGCCCTTGACAACAGCTCCAGACTCTAACTTCCTGCTAATGCAGACCAAGGGTGAAGGCTTAAAGAGTTCCACCCCTGATGTGGTGACCCCTAAGTCTCCAGGCTTGTATGCACTTGGGAGTGAACTGGTGGCTGGCCAAGCTCATTTTGTGTCTGTTAAGTAAACAAACAAAACACACACCAATATAACAAAACAATACAGTTAAGTTACAAAGAAGAAAGACTTGATATTTTCACTGTAGCTTTTCCTTTGGAATTGTATAGCAATTTCTGCTCTTTATTTCTGATAATGGAGTCTACATTTTGTACCCTTTCTTAAGATTTTATTTGAAAAGCAGAGTTAGAGAGGGGAGAGTCAGAGAAATTTGCCATCTGCTGCTTTACTCCCCAAATTACGATGGTCAGCGTAGAGCCAGTCCGAAGCTGGGAGCTAACTTCTTACAGGTGCAGGAGCCCAAGAACTTGAGCCACCCTCCACTGCTTCCCCAGGCCAAAGCAGGGAGCTGTATCAGAAATGGAATAGCTGGGAAGCCACTCTGCACTCCAGTTTGGAGGTTGACATTTCAAGCTGCGGCTTACCCCACAGCGCCCCAGTGCTAACCGTTTTTCACCCATTGGAATCCTGTCCATTTTCTAGTTGTGTTCTTTGTCATGTGTGTGTTTTTCTCTTGCCTTTTTGGAGGTCTTCATATGACTCCTCACGTAAGAGATTCAAGTGCCTTTTTAAGTATAAACCTTGGGGTGTTTTCCTCTTCCATCTACTTGTTCAGTCCCCAAATAGCTTCAATGATGGAACTGAGCCTATCCGGAGCCAGGAGCTTTTCCTGGGTCTCCTGTGAGCGTGCAGGGCACCCCAAAACTTGGGCCATCCTCCACCGCTTTCCAAGCCATAGCAGGGGGGCTGCATGGGAAGTGGAGCAGCAGGGACAGAAATCAGCACCCATACAGAAAGCCGATGCCACAGGCAGAGGCCTAGCTTACTACACCACAGGGCCAAACCCATGTACCCCTTTTAGTTCTAGTTTTAGATACACTGCAGGACAAATGATACCTGCAAGTTTCAAGAGAATAGAAGAAAAACAACCTTATTTTTGTAGGCAGTTCCGATGATGTAACTTACAGGTTAGGTAATACCTTGTCTACTAGGTCTTTCCAGTGATGAAAAATGTAGCTGGCACTTATCGCGCAAGCAGTAATGCAACAATTCCCGGTCGTTAACCATGCCAGGTGTAGGGCATACGAAATCTGAACCAGCCATGCTGAACACTACCCCACCCAGTGTGGTAAGGGTTACAACACAGCACTCCTGTGGCTGGTGCCTGGCTCTCTGAAACTCCCCTCACATTTCCTTATTGACCTTGAGACACTTGTCGCAACAAGTTCGCCTCAGTCTCTGTCTGTGGCTCCTGATAGGATCTTGGCAGTGAAATCCTCCGGGAAACAGAACTAGGGCCTGCTTTGCGTCACAGCAGCTCTGAGCTGACGGCCTCCCTCCAGCACCTGTTTGATCCCCCCCATCCCAAAGACTGTTCTCCTTGGAGCCGTCCCGACGTTTCAGTTCCAATGCTAGCAGGACATTCAGGCACCCTGCTCCCCAGCCCGACCAGGCACCTCCCTCGCGCCCAGGGCGTCCTCCCCGAGTCCCCGCCCAGCCCCGGCGCCGGATGGACGCGCGCTGCCGCGTGACCGGCGTGACGCACGGGCCCGCGCCGCGCCACAGGCGGGAGAGGGCGAGGGGCCAGGGCGGGAGCCGGGGCTGAGGCGGGGGAGGGAAGGCGGGGCCGCGCGGCTGGCCCGCCCCCGTCGGCCGCTGCCGCCTCGCGCCAAAATCAAACCCGGAGACCCGCCGGCAGGTGATCCCGCGTCAGGGTGAGTTTGGCGGCGTCGGCGCGAGCTGAGCGCGCACCTGTGGCCACTTCCCCGCCCGACGCACCCGGGGCCACCTGCAGCCGAGCATGGCCACCCCGCCCAAGAGAAGCTGCCCTTCTCCCTCCACCAGCTCCGAGGGCAGCCGCATCAAAAAGATCTCCATCGAAGGGAACATCGGTAAGGCGCGCGGAGCGGCGGCGGCTGGCGCTTCGGCCCTCCAGCCGGGCGGAGCGCACGTCGCCCGGGCTTGCTTGCCGCCCAGTCCGCGTCCCTCCGGGCTCTGGCCCAGCGCCCGGCCTGGCGGCTTTGTTGGGCGCTCCTTCGGGACCCTGCGCCTTCCTGGATGGGAACTCACAAAGGGGGATGGGTTTTTGTTCTGTTTTGCTCCCGGGGGTAGGGGTGGTTGGATTCTTTCTTGTAAGTGTTCATACCTTCGTGGCGTGAGGTGTGAGGAATGCAGTGCCGTGTTAGGACCTGCCGTTCAAGGACAGAGCGCAGCTATCCGCTGGCGAAGTTCCTTTGTGCGCCTTTGTGGTCAGCCGGCTCCCCTTCCCGCCGACAGCCAGTGGTCTAAACTTCATCCCGACGAATTGGCGCTTGTCAGAACGCGCTGGCAGCGGGTCAGGGAGGGTCGGTCCGGGTCCGGTGCTTTGAGATGGCTTCGTGTTACCGATTGCCTTACCCCCCCCCCCCTTTTTTTTTTTTGCGAGTAGTACCGTGGCCGGTTAGGTCACGGTTTTTCTGTTTGCATTTCGGGACCTTGGAGTGTTTCTAACTTGTTCTGAACCGCGATGAGGCAGAGTGCACCATGCGTGTCATTTTGCCCTCTTCTTTATTCCTACTATAGGAAACCTATACCTGATGCTTCCTGTTTTGATAAAAAAATAAAGACTGCAGCTTGTGTAGTGGGTGCTCATGCGTGCAGGAAATACTTTTTAATCCATAGCATATTCAAATGCTTTTCCTTCTTGAAAAAGGCAAGGCCGGGAGATGCATGAAGCATGCATCTTTAAAAAGCTGAACACATGCCAAGAAGTTACTTTGCTGCATCAGGACTAAGACGCCAGTGAGCAAGAGCGGCGTTCCCTCTGAGTGCAAGTTCTTCCAGGGAGCGTGCTTGCTGCACAGCTACTTCCTGGGTAAGGAAGAGCACAGATGAAGACAGGAGAAAATGAACCAAGCTGCCTTAAAAACGAAGCTCAGGAAAACCCCTTGGACCAGGAGCCCAGGAATCAGCCCCTTCCCTCCTCAACTCCAGCTAGACAATCTGTCAAAACTAGGAACGTACTTTTCCCTGGGCATTTTACCCTGCTAGCACCTGAATTAGAATCATTTATTTACTAAGAGACAAAGAGAGCCAGTGTGCTCCCATTTGTTGGGTCACTCCTCAAATGTCTACAGTAGGGCCCAGCACGGTGGCCTAGTGGCTAAAGTCCTCACCTTGAACTTGCCAGGATCCAATATGGGTGCTGATTCTAATCCCGGTGGCCCTGCTTCCCATCCAGCTCCCTGCTTGTAGCCTGGAGAAACAGTCAAGGACGGCCCAAAGCCTTGGGATTCTGCACCCGTGTGGGAGACCTGGAAGAGCTCCAGGCTCCTGGCTTTGGATCAGTGTAGCTCCCGCTGTTGCGGCTGCTGGGGAGAGAATCATCAGACAGAAGATCTTCTTTGTCTCTTCTCCTCTCCCTCTCTATCTCTGTGTATGTATATCTGACTTTGCAATGAAAATAAATCTTAAAAAAAAGTCTGCAATAGCCAGAACTGGGCAAGGCTGAAGCCAGGAGCCAGGAACTCAGTTTCACCTCCTATGTGGGCGAAGGGCCCGAGCCCTTGAGCGCACATAGGCTGCCAGGGTGCTCATACACAGAAGGAGCAGACGGGCCAGTGCCCGCGCCCAGCGCTGCCCTGTGGGGTGCAGAGGTCTTCAGTGCTGCACCCAGGCCTGCCCAGGAAATAGCCTCTTACTGTGTCACCCCCATTTTTGTGAAATACATTGAATAGTGTCTTTTTTTTTAAACATACAGATTATACTGACAGAAGTTGCATAACAATTTACGCTTGCGCAAAAGAGGGTCTGCCCAGATGTTGGAGAAGCACTTAGTGCTAGCACTTAACATTTTGGAATTTTGCGTAAAAGTTCTAGATTCTGGCATCTAGAAGAATCTGAAGGTTGGTAGCTGGTCCTGCAGCTCTGTGTGACAGCAGTTTGTATTGCGAGGTAGCGGGAAGTTTTATCACTTGCTGCTTAGTACTTGTTGGTCGTGTCTGCTACCTGTTTCCCTATCCAAAGGAGCTTTCAGTGTCAGGATTGTTACTCTGTAGAAGATTATCTTGTGATTTCTCTATTTTTGATAAAGATGTATTTATTTGAAAGTCAGTGCGGCAAAGAGAGGGCGAGGCAAATCTCTCACTTCCCAAATGGCCATTAACAACCAAGTGTGCAGCAGGTGGAGGCCCCCAGCTCCAGGAGCTCCAGCCTCTTCGCTCTCCTCTTCCGAGTGGGCGGCAGGGCCCGAGGGCTTGGGCCCTGCCCGGGCACATTGGCAGAAAGCTGGATCCGGAGAGAAATAGTCAGGTACGGGATGCTGGCAGCTCCTGCGGTGCAATGCCAGCTGCTCTGAGTTTGAACGTGCCCTGCTTGTTGTAGGTTTAAACCCATGTGGCTTTCTCATCTTCTCTGTTACCAAGGTTCGATTTTTGGTGGCCTTCTTTGCTGCATACATCATCGGTCTGTTTAGGAATTACTTTTAGGATCATCATGCTTATTTGGCTTTAGGAATTCCTCTCATTTCTGTGACTTTAAAAAATATTAGAGCAGTGCCCCTCAGTTTGATCAACAGCTCACTGGATGACTCTGCTGTAGCTACTCTCATTGTTTAAAAATATGAACCACTGACAATTTTCGGCATGTAAGCAGGATCAGTTTGAAGTGCTTTCAGAGTTTAGCTGATCCCTGATTTTTAAAAACGCATTATTTAATACCCGGGATAGTAGCCTAGTGGCTAAAGTCTTCACCTTGCAACCACCAGGATCCCATATGGGTGCCGGTTCATATCCCGGCAGCCCCGCTTCCCATCCAGCTCTGTGTCTGTGGCCTGGGAAAGCAGTCAAGGACGCCTTGGGACCCTGCACTCAAATGGGAGACCTGGAAGAAGTTCCTGGCTCCTGGCTGTTGCAGCCGCTTGGACTGAAAATCTTTCGGTCTCTCCTCCTATCTGTATATCTGACTTTTCAGTAAAAAATAAATGAATAAATCTTTTTTTTTAAATGTGTTTTATTTGGGTGTTCTTTTTGTCTTCCAGCTATCTCGGTGGCTGTTTGGTGATGAAACTGTGTTTTCCTGCAGGCCCTCATCTTAACGCTGCCCTGAAGTTTTGGTCACCAGTGTTTTCCCCATGACATCCAGCAGTTAACAGTTAATCCTGAAGAGTTTTCCTCACCTCTTTTGCTGCTCAGCCATTCTCACTGTGCTACCTTTGTATTTGTAGTCTGTCTCCCTTTTCTGTTCTGTGTGTGATTTCAACAACAACAACAAAAAAAGGTTGTTTATTTGAAAGGCACAGAAAAAGAGGAGAGAACCATTCTGGTTCACTGCCCATGTGGTGGCAGTGGTGAGGGGGAGCCAGGTTCAAGTCAGGAGCCAGGAGCACTTGAGCTGTCGGGCTCTGCCTTCCCAGGTGCCCCAGCAGGGAGCTTGATCAGAATCGAGCAGCTGGGGCTTGAGCTGGCCCCCGTTACTGCAGGCTGGCATCGCACTTGGTGGTACCTGCTTTGCCACAACACCAGCCCCTCTAAGTGTGATCCTGCAAAGTTCTTTCAGCTTTTTTCTATTGCCTTATGTAAGATTTGAGATTTGAATAAAACTATGGAAGTAAAAAGAAAGTTTTTTTTTTTTCTTAGATCCTGTTTATGAGAAAGAGGAACCATTTCCAGTTCATATATTCAAAGCCGTTTCATGTGTGTATTCATGAGTGTGTGCGGGGTGCTTCAGAGTCCCTAGAAAAATGAAGTTAAAAGATACGTTTGAGGCTGGCATTACCCTGGTGGTAAGAAGCTTGCCTCCCCTAGTTTTTGTTACTGTGGGCTCCTAACCCCAGTTCTTGATGGGGCAGACCCCTGGAGACAGTGGTGACAGCTCAAGTCCTGGGGTTTCTGCCACTCCTAGTAGGAGACCTGAGTGCAGTTCCCATCTGCCACCATCAGCTGCCCGGTCGCAGTCACTGTGGGCATTTGTGGAGTGAACTTGTTGATGGGAACTGTGTCTTGAGCTGTGGGTCTCTGTCTTTCAAACAAAACAATTAGATTTGTTTTGGTGCGAAAAATGTAAACTATATGCATAGCCTTTTTTTTTCCAAATGTGTCTTTTCCATGAACTTTCTGCAGACTTTATGCATGTATGTATATGTGTACACACACTTGTGTACACTTATAGAAAGAGGGAAAGGGAGGGAAATGTTGACCATAGATGTGCAGTGCAGCCACATTTGGTGACTTAAGATAGAAAGGGCGCGGTTGTTATTAGTATTACTGCACCACACCCTGCTTGATTCTAGGTCAAGACAATCCCAAGTACAGATGGAACATATTCTTTGGTAATTTAAAAAGTAGTGAACTTAATGGGTCCTGATTATATGTGATCTATTTTTTAACTCCTCTGAGAAAAGTCAAGATAAAGTAAGGCATCTCTCTCTCTCCTCGCCTCTCTCCCCCACCTCCTTCCTCGCTCTCTCCCTCCTTCCAGTTTGGTAGAATTCACTAGACCTGGAGCCATGAAAATGAAGCAGAAAGAGCATGACTGTTGCTTGTAGGAAGAGTTCCACAAACAGGTTTTCTTTTATAGTTTCTGTTAGCTTATTCGTGTTATATAATAATATACTGTTTCCCACTCAAAAAACTCTAGTCTCTGGATGCATCTTCCTGTTCATTTAGGGGGTGTTTCTTAACGGCCTGTTTGACCGGGAGGAGTGAAGTCAGTGGCGAGCACACTGCTGGAAACAGGAGAGGCTGCAGTGTGTCCCTGCCGGGATAATTCGCCGTTTGCACCAAGGTCTGCCTGAGCATGGCAGGACTGTGTGTGGGGGAAGCAGACCCCGAGATTCCGAGCTTTCCCAAATCACACGGCCAATGAAGTGACCCTCATTGGCCCGCGTGTGGCGCTCCCTGGGGGATCGGTTCAGCTGTCAGCGTAGATTTCTTTTCCCCTGCCATAACTTCTCTAGAATTTCATGGGGATTTTAATTCCGCAGCTTTGCTAAACTACAGGTAACAACAAACATGCTTAACCACTGTGGGCTTATTTTCAGTTTTCTTGTAAAACAAACAAAAAATATAAAAGCTTAGAAAATTGGATGTCTTGAGGGTTTTTGTTTTTTGTGTTGTTTGTTCTCATAAATCCTGTGAAAGTTTGTGACTACTTGGTGGCTTTTTTACGTTTTTACGTTGTTCTTTGACAAGGTCCCTGCCTCACTTGACCATCCCTGTTGTTACAGCTGCGGGAAAGTCAACTTTTGTGAATATCCTCAAACAAGTCTGTGAAGATTGGGAAGTGGTGCCTGAACCCGTGGCCAGATGGTGCAATGTTCAAAGTACTCAAGATGAATTTGAGGTATGAAAGTAAGATTTAAGTACTGCAAGAAAAATCTTGTGATTTAGAGGAAGAGAGTCTTATCTCTGTTTTCTTCCTTTCCGAGTAGGAATTTCAGGTGTAGTTTCAAGTCTACCATCAGGGCAGCGGTGACACGGCTACTAGTGTGAGGCACTCCGGAAAGTTCACAGAAAGTACTTATCATGAGAAAACTGCAGCAATTTCAGACTTTTATCCGCCATAATCAGTTTTTGATTCCAGTTCCCATAAGCTTGTTGAAGCACCCTTGTAGATGGAAACATTTATCAACCTTTGTGGTTAAGATCTGTTTATTTTCCTACACCTGTGTAAAGCTTCGAACATCTTTAAAAATCCAAAGATTAAACTGCATGACATTTTTTTTTTTTTTGGTATATTTATTTATTATTGGAAAGTCAGATTTACAGAGAGAAGGAGAGACAGAGCGAAAGATCTTCCGTCCGCTCGTTTTCTTCCCCAAGCAGCTGCAGTGGCCACAGCTGAACCGTTTCAAAGTCAGGAGCCAGGAGCTTCTTGTGGGTCTCCCAGGTGGGTGCAGGATCTCAAGGCTCTGGGCCGTCCTTGACTGCTTTCCCAGGCCACAAGCAGGGAGCTGGATGGGAAGCGGGGCTGCTGAGGCACAGCCAGCACCCATATTGGATCCTAGAGCCTGCAAGGTGAGGACTGTAGTTACTAGGCTACTGCACCAGATTCTAAGCACAATTTTAAAGGTAACATCTTTGTGGGTTTTTTTGTCTTGCTTTGATTTTTTAAGGATTTATTTCGGAGGGAGAGGCACAGATGTTCCATCTGGTTAACTCCCTACATGAGTGGGGCAGCCAGCGCAGATCCAAGCAGATCCCAGGAGCCTGGAATCTCATTCGGGTCTGTGTGTGTGGCAGGAGACCAAGCGTTTGGGCTGTCATCATTGGCACCAGCACTCACATAGGATCCAGTCATTGCAGACGGCATCCCCACCTACTTCACCGCAGTCTCGGCCCCAAACCATGAGGCATATCAAGAGATGGAACGTTATTTCAGAAGACCCTTTTTGCCCTTTCTGATCACATCTGTTCCCCTATAAAACTTCTCTAAAGTTGTACTATCAGGGTACTCATTTTCATGGTTTTGTTGCTTTCTAACAATAATGAGGACAGGGCTCGTGTTGTGGCACAGCTGCTGAAGCTGCTGCCTACGATCCCGCGTGGGCTCCGGTGTGAGTGCCAGTGGCTCCACTTCCAGTCGTGCTCCCTGCTAATGCCCTGGGAAATCGGTGGAGGATGGCTCAAGTCTTTGGGCCTCTGGACTCATTGGGAGACATGGAAGAAATTCTGGTTCCTGGCTTTGGATTGCCTCAGCTGTGTCTATGTGGCCATTTAAGGAGTGAACCAACAAATGGAAGATGGCTCTCTCTGTCTCTTTTTCTCTGTAATTCTACCTTTCCAACAAAAATCAAGAAAATCTTAAAAAGAAGAAGAAGAAAAATAAAGATAACCCAATTCTCTGGGCCCCTGCCATCCACATGGAAGTCCCAGGAGGCACTGCGGGCTCCTGGGTTGTGTCTGACGAAGCCTTGACCATTGCAGACGTAAGTGAACCAGCATGTGTTTCTAGCACTCTCTGTAACTCTGCCTTTCAAATACATCTTTAAAAAAATAATAATGTGTGGGCCCGGCGCGGTGGCGCAAGTGGTTAAAGGTCCTCGCCTTGCACGCCCGGGATCCCATATGGGCCCCGGTTCTAATCCCGGCAGCCCCGCTTCCCTTCCAGCTCCCTGCCTGTGGCCTGGGAAAGCAGTCGAGGACGGCCCAAAGCTTTGGGACCCTGAACTCGTGTGGGAGACCCAGAAGAGGCTCCTGGGTTCGGATCGGCATAGTATCGGCCCGTTGCGCTCACTTGGGGAGTGAATCATCGGACGGAAAATCTTCCTCTCTGTCTCTCCTCTCTGTATATCCGCCTTTCCAATGAAAAAATAATAAAAATAAATCTTTAAAAAAAAATAATAATAATGTGACCATACATTACCATATGTTTTAAGAAACATAATTCAGTCTATTTTTGACTATTATAGAAATGGAGTCAGTGATGACATTCTTCCTCTTATTTAATTGATGAGATTTGATCATACTGTTGCATGCATCTTACTAATTTTCATTGCTACATATATTCAATCATTTATGAGTGCCTATTTTATACCTTTTAGTTGATTATCAGTTTAGTGGCTTTGATAAACAGCACTGTTATGAACTCGGATTTTGATGTACGCACACGGTTAGGATTTCTTCAGGAATGTGGAGTAGTGATTCTGGTTGGTGGTGTATGCCTCCTGGCTTCCGAGGTGAAGCAGGTGTTTCCATTCCCAATGTAATCAACTCGTCAGTCCACATCCTTTATACTTTTAGTATTGTTGTACTTCGTGTCCTACGTTTTGTTCTGTTTGTACTTTTACATTCTTAACTTGTATTTCTTTAGTTGCCAGTGAAATGACACTCTTTCACGTCTCGATTGACTGTTTGAATTTCCTTGGTGAAGTGCCCACCAGGTCCTTTTGCTTGCTCTCCTTTGAGTCCTCTGTCTTTCCTCGTGCTGTAGTTTTACTTCCCAGAGAATGCCCGGGGCTGCTGGCGTTTCAGACCCTTTCACTAGGAAGCCAGGGTTAGAAATCCCGAGGGAAGAGCAGCAGCGGGTGGAGCTGCGTGGCCTCCATTAGGGTCCATGTTGGCGTCAGCCCCGCGGGTTTGCGGTTCATGTGTGAATAACTGGTTTGTTGACACAGTTGTCTTTAGGCTCCGCATGCGTCATGTTAGCCAAGGGCCCAGAAACTTGTCAGTCAAGACCAAAATGTCCAAAGTTTTAATTTGTAGAGAAAATGTTATTGTCAGAGTCACTGTATTTATGTCAGTGCTGTCTCTGTTTGGTCACAGTTCTCATCCAGTGAAAGGAACTTTAACGAATTTGAAGAGTTTGGGATGTGTCGGATTTTGCATATGTATTAGTTAAAAATTGTTGCTCTAATGATTCACTGTTAGTTTTAGAAGTATATCAAACTCTTAGGTTGCAGAAGAGAGGTTGAAAAATATTGCATTAATATACATGGAAAGCTATTTTAAAATGATGATAGCCTGTTGAACTTGGCATCAGAGCCCAGAAAAATTAGGTAGCTATCATTAATGGCTGTTGAAGTGAGATTTTTTTTGGGCCCAGTGCCATGGCTTAGCAGCTAAAGTCCTCACTTTGAATGTGCCAGGATCCCATATGGGGCCCAGTTTTGATACCAGCAGCCCCATTTCCCATCCAGCTTTCTGCTTGTGGCCTGGAAAAGCAGTTGAGGATGGCCCGAATCGTTGGGCTCCTGCATCCCTGTGGGAGCCCTGGAAGAGCTCCTGGCTCCTGGCTTTGGATCGCTGCAGCTCCGGCCATTGCAGTCACTTGGGAAGTGAAACGTTGGATGGAAGATCTTCTCTTGTCTTTCCCCCTCTCTCTCTATATCTGACTTTGCAATAAAACTAAATAAATTTTTTGTTTTTTTAAAAAAAGGCAGAAGCCCAAGTAACTTAAAAAAAAAAAAGTAGGATTTCCGTCTTTTATCCAGGAATTGCTTCTGACTCATTCCTGGTCTATTCTTTGTGATATATTGAGAATCAAGCACTCTCCAAATCTTAGCTTTCTTAGACACTGTCGGAAAGGAGAAGTGGATGTCTTTGGACCCACTGACCTGTTCCATTTTGGGTGTTAACCATCTCGTGTGGCCGTAGTTGACTAGGACCTTTGTTAGTTTATGTTCCCTTAGAAACTAACTGCACCCCGCGCTCAGTTTGTCTTGTTCGTGCTGCTTTTAATTATTTTTTCATCTGCCACCTAGTGGCTGAAATGTTGTTAAGTTGTTGATACCTATCAAGTTTTGGTAAAATGAGACAATGCACCCTAAGGATCTCAGTTTGCTAAAATGCACAGTTTTGTTTTGATTTTGTGAAAATGATTTATTTGTTGAAAGACAAAGGGACAGAGAGAGACCATTGTGGCTGTTTGCGCAGTGAATGAGTCGATGGACGGGCCCTCTGCCTCCCCATCACTCTGCCTTTCAAATACGTGCGTTTTCTTCCTTTCCTTTTTTCCTTTCTTTTTCTTTTTCTTTCATTTTTTTTGCTAAAGGTGACATCTTCAAAGGTGTAAAGCCCTGTTAGATTTTTAATGTAGTTTTAATTTGTCCATTTGCGGTTTTAGGACCAGCTGGTTCTTTTTGTAATTCAGTGGTAGGTCAGTATTGATCCTGTAAGTTCTTTAGTCTTTTTACTTTATTTGAGGGAGAGAGATCTCCTTTGATTTGATTCACATCCCAGATGTCTGCATCCAGGGCTAGGCAGGACTCGGCATAATCTGGAAGCTCTGAACACGTGGGTGGTCGGGAGGTGGGGAGGGCTCGGGCCACTGGGCTCCTGCTGCCCTGACGCGATGCTGGAGTGAGCTCCTTGCTGCAGCACATACCTCGAAATTGTGGCTTCTAGAACAAATCAGCAGGTGAGAGCTCTGCCTCTTCTGTTTCAAATATATTTTTTTAAAAATTTCATGAAAATATTTCATGTGTTGACATCTTCATTTCTCTGGAAAAATTGATTTGTATTCAATGCCAAATCAGCGGTGTGTATGTGAGTTCAAATCAGCGGTGTGTCTGCATGGTGTTTTCACCAACTGAAATTTTGAGGTTAGTTGTAATGTTTATATGTCTGGATTTTGGATTTTGAGGAACATTTGCTTTGAGCATGGGTTTCCAAGAGGTCTTCAGATGTTTTTTATGGGACTTGCATTGGGAATAGGAATTAAGCCATCATATTTTCTCTTGCTAATAAATATACAAGGCTAAAACTTCTGTGCAGTGTTATGTGGACAGTTAGGTAGCCCTTAAGTTACAGAACATACTGGTGAAGCACCAGTGCACCACAGGGACTCACTGTGAGGACAGGTCAGTTAAATCATTTAAAAATCAGTTTAGTTTCATAATTCCATTTTGCGTTTGTTTATTTGGAAGACAGCGAGAGAGAGAAAGAGAGAGGAAGATCTTACACTCACTCTTTCTTTCCCAAATCCTGCAACATCAAGGATGGTACCAGGCCAAATCCAGGAGCCTTGAACCCCATCTGTGTCTGTCACAAGGATTTCAGGTTCCCAAGTATTTGGACCGTCATCTACTACCTTTCCAGATGCACCAGCAGGAAGATGTATCCCAGGCAGAGGGGCTGGGACTCAGACTGGCACTCCGCTATGGGACTCATTTCAGCCAAGCTATTAAACCACTGTGTCACAGTGCCAGCCCCATATATAACAATTTTTAAAGATTTATTTTTTTTTTTCATTGGAAAAGCAGATTTACAAAGAGGAAGAGAGAAAGTTCTTTCATCCTTGGGTTCACTTCCCAAGTGTCTGCAGTAGTATGAGCTGAGACGATCTGAAACCAGGAGCCAGGAGCTTCTTCTGGGTTTCCCATGCAGGTGCAGAGTCCCAAGGCTTTGGGCTGTTCTTTGCTGCTTTTCCAGACCACAGGCAGGGAGCTGGATGGGAAGTGGGACCACCATGATAAGAATTGGCACCCACATGGGATCCTGCCACATGCAAGGCAAGGACTTTAGCCACTGAGCTGTCACACTGGGCCCCATATATAACATTTTTATGAGAAAATAAACTATTGTCCAAAAGAAAGAAGTTTACTGGGAAATTTGTGGTCAAATTTGTAGGTGTCTTAAATGTCTTGTAATAGCAAATGCTGGATGTTTGCTGCGGTCCCAGCATCACATGTGGTTTCTGGGAAACACCTGTACCTTCATGAGTGGGAAGCAGCATGTATTTTTCACTCTTAGTGTCATTATTTTGAAAAGGTTATATATATATTCTCCTTGAAGACCCCTTGGAAGGATTTTAGTCTCTTAAGGGTTCCCCTACCTCTGTCCTAGATGGGGAATATTACTTCATTTGGAAAACCCTAGAAATGCAGCTCGTTTTAAAATAGCATGTAAAAGACCAGTAATCCTTTTGTAATATACCCAGTCTGTGTATGTATTTCCCCATTCTCATGATTTCTTTTACAGTTTGTTGGAGCTCAGAAAGGTTTACACATTGCATTTGGTTGGTATAGTTTAAAAATTGTGGTCTGTTGATTTTCTCTGATTTTTTTTTTTCCTTTATAATTTGTTTGTTGAAGAAACAGGGTCATTTGTTCCCAGTATATTTCCTTCTGGTTTTGGTTGAATATCTGTGGGAGAATTAACACACTTTTATATAATGTACATTTGTACATCCCTGTAGGTTTGATTAGATTTAATTTCACTTCTTTTTTTGGCTGGTTCCTTGGTATTGATGTGTATTTTATTCACAGTAAAGTAGGAGAGTGTCTTTTTTTTTTTTTTTTTTTTAAAGATTTATTTTTATTATTTTTTCATTGGAAAGGCGGATATACAGAGAGGAGAGACAGAGAGGAAGATCTTCCATCCGATGATTCACTCCCCAAGTGAGCACAACGGGCCGATGCTATGCCGATCCGAAGCCAGGAGCCTCTTCGGGTCTCCCACGCGGGTGCAGGTTCCCAAAGCTTTGGGCCGTCCTTGACTGCTTTCCCAGGCCACAGGCAGGGAGCTGGAAGGGAAGCGGGGCTGCCGGGATTAGAACCGGGGCCCATATGGGATCCCGGGCGTGGAAGGCGAGGACCTTTAACCACTTGCGCCACGGCGCCGGGCCTGAGAGTGTCTTTTTGATGTTAAAATTGCTTAGTCAGTACAGGTGTGCTGTCAACCTAATTCACTTCTAAAATTCCTGACAACTTTTCTCTCATGATCTTAATAAACATTGCAAATTGTTGCTTCAACCCACCCTATCACTAGGTACTACAAAAGGTGACATTCTTTCTTAGGCCTTTTTGAATTGAGATTCAGTAGTAAGATTGTTTTTTCACAGCTGAATCTTTTCTCATCAGCTGCATTACACTGAAAGCATTTTCTATGGAAAGAGCTAGAACATAAAGTTTTTCTTTTCACCTCTGCATTTCCAGAGTGAGTTAGTGCCTTAGCAGCTTCTTTGCATTTGTCTATTTGAAAGAGTTACAGAGAGCCAAAAGGGGAGACCACTGGTTCACCACCCCCATGGCTGCAATGGCCAGGGCTGTGCCTGGCTGAAACCAGGTGCTTCATTGAGGTCTCTTAGGGGGGGTACCTGGGACTCAAACACTTGGGCAATGGAGCTGGATCAGAGGTGGAGCTGCCAGGATTCAAACCAGAGCCTTTGAGATGCCAGCACCACAGACTGCAGCTTAACACACTCTACCGTAGTAGCAGCCCCTTCTTTAACAACTTCGAATAGGGGGTTGGCCCTTTTTTTCCCTCTCAGGGGCCATTTGGATATTTGTAAAATTATTTGCAGGACGTATGAAATTATGAACTTGAAAATGTGCTTGGTTTGGATTTAATGAATTTTGAGTCATGCCTGTGGCTGTCTTGGAGGGGAGGGAGACCAGTGAATTTGGATGGAGTGGTCATACCCCACTACTGTAAGGTGACCAGAGTTTGGGTTTCTTTTGGTGTTATGCGCTTGAGGCTTTGTGCCTTCCAGTCTTTGGATGTTTGCAATGTCCTGACTTGATCAGCGGAAGCCTCGTAATTTCTGCTGCTCTGCTCATGGCACAGTAACAGCGGGTTTTGACAGTTTCTCAGCTGGAACAAGATAGATGATACTTGCCCTATCCATTTTCCTGGACTTGGAATCAGACATGGAATTCTGATTCATTTCAGTGGGAAACGGGATTTAGAGATTATGATTTGGTATCAGTTATATATATTCAAGATGAGTTGTGTATAGCTTCATTGTGCAACTGAACGGTGATGTGTGGCCATTCGGAAGTGTTAAATGTTTTCCACATATAAATGACTTATCAGAAATGAATCCTGTTGCGAGTTTCTTTGTCTTGTTAGAGAATCTTCAGGGAATGGTGAGGGCTGATAAACCAGAGACCATATTCCGCCCAGAGGAAGTTAGAAGTAGAAGCTCGGTATTGTTTGAGTTTTTCCATTTCTGAAAAGTTACAAGTCCAACTATTTTATGTGAAATTGTTTACCTTTCAATTTTTTAAGAAATTTTTGAGAACTCTCATTGGAGTGAAGCAGTTTCTTCCCCGGGTTCCTTAGTTAACTCTTGTGAGAAATCTATAAGGATTCTCTGAGACCTCGAGCAACCTGAACGATGTATTGAGAAAGAGGAGGGGGAGTAATCACTGTGGTTTGGCTAGGCATCATATTTTTATTTATCCGACATCTTTTTAAGCCTTCTTAAAGTGAACATAACCCTGCTGCTCGTTAACTTTTCTTTTTGCAAATCCCAAATAGGAACTAACAACGTCTCAGAAAAGTGGCGGCAATGTTTTGAAGATGATGTATGAGAAGCCGGAGCGCTGGTCTTTCACCTTCCAGTCCTACGCCTGCCTCAGCCGCGTGCGAGCTCAGCTGGCTGCTCTCGGCGGCAAGCTCAAAGACGCGGAGAAGCCAGTGCTGTTTTTTGAACGATCTGTGTATAGTGACAGGTGTGTACAAAGAGATGGCTTGCATTTGGGTGTTTAGTGTCTTGCCTTAAAACTGGGCTTTTGTTTTATTTTGTTTTGTTTTTCCTACTCCTGGTAATCCAAGAGTTATGGCTGAACTGGGGATTTGAAATGGAAAGTGACATTTCGGGGCCTCAGCAGTGTGGTCTTAATGACCTTAGGAGAGTTCTCCATTTGTAACCCCTGGCTTGTATATAGTCAATAGGGAATGGGTGGCTCTCACTCAGACCTGCAGCGTTTTTGTTTTCCTCTTCCAATCCCTTTAAAAGTCTTCTTTGCTCTGATTAAACCTGGATCAGTGTTTAGACTCAAGTGCAGCAAGGGTACAGAGATCTCGGTGGGGGCGTGGAGCTGCCCTGCTTCTACCAAGATCCCTTAGACTTCTGACATTATCTCAGAAAAAGGCTTGCAGAAGTTTTGGTCTCATGACCTGTTTCCATATCTTATTAATGAGGAGTTTTCAGGCTTTTGTGTCTTATTGATAAGCATATTTTTGCAAATTAAGTTGGAGAAATATGGAAAAAGGTGTTTTTTAGTATTGCTAATAATAAACTCATTTTATGTTAACATAACTAGTGTATTTTGGGGCCAGGCTTTCGATGCAGTGGTTAAGATGCCCCTTTGAGTGCTTGTGTCCATTAGTCCCGTGCCTGGATTTGTTTCCTGATTGTGCCCCAGACTCCAGCTCCCCGTTAATGAAACTGTTGGACATGTGTAGACAAAGGGATGCTGGACTGACATTGTCTGTACCAGCAATGGCAAGGTACAGTTAAATAAGAGACTGATGGAATTATGATTCCTTATGAAGGACTATACCATTATAGCAAAATGGGGAAAATCTGTCGGGGGTGGAAGATAGGGGGGAATCCCAATCTATGCGAAGCTGTACCACACGTAATTCAAAAATTCAAAAAAAAATTTAATAATAAAAAATAAAATTTATATAGATAATAGTGTCTATTTTTAAATGAATAAATTCTAGGGCCCAGTGCGGTGGCGCAGTGGTTAAGATCCTCGCCTTGCATGTCCGGGATCCCATATGGGCACCGGTTCTATCCCGGCGGCCCCACTTTCCTTCCAGCTTCCTGCCTGTGGCCTGGGAAAGCAGTTGAGGACGGTCCAAAGCTTTGGGACCCTGCACCTATGTGAGAGACCCAGAAGAGGCTCCTGGCTTCGGATCGGCATAGCATCGGCCGTTGCGCTCACTTGGGGAGTGAATCATCGGATGGAAGATCTTCCTGTCTGTCTCTCCTCTCTGTATATCTGCCTTTCCAATAAAAAAATAATAAAAATAAATCTTAAAAAAAAATAAATTCTAAACCAAAAAAAAAAACTACATGTGAGACAGTAAGTGACAGCTCAGGAACTTGGCGGCTGTATTTGAACCTGGGGCCTTTGACTGGCCCCACCCTAGCTGTTGGGGCACGGAGGGTGCAGTACCACATAGGAGATTGTACTGTTTAGTCCCTGTCTCTGTTACTATGTCTTTTTTGTAATTCTTTTTGAGTGTACACTGTTCAGAGTCAGCCTGTGTGACACATTCCTTTGTTGAGGTGTTACTAGTGTTTGAACTCATTTTGCCTCTCGTAGAACCCTTGGAAGGATCTTGGGGAGTCCCAGGCATTGTCGCACCACATTTTGACAGTTGCTTCCCAGGAATATAGTTCCTGTTGGTGGACAGACTAGTTTATTCTGTCCAAGGGTTGTAAAGCCACAGGATGTAGAAATTTGCATGTCCACCTTGTAGATATGTTTTCTCTCTGTTTCTCTCTTTCTCTTTTAAAGATGTATTAATGAAGACTTTTTTCAGGTATATTTTTGCATCAAATTTATATGAGTCTGACTGCATGAATGAAACAGAGTGGACAATTTATCAAGACTGGCATGATTGGATGAATAACCAGTTTGGTCAAAGCCTTGAATTGGATGGAATCATTTATCTTCGAGCTACTCCAGAAGTAAGACCCAATAAAAATTCCGTTTCATTGAAAGTTTTAACTAATATTTAGACATCTTTTCAGTAGTGTGTAGCAAATGCAATTTGGCACCACCTGCTCTAGTTTTCCGTTTGCAAGCTTGTCGCTCTCAGCGGAGGCCTTCTGCTCCCTCTGGGCTCTGTAAACCCAGCCTTGGAAGTCAGTCTTTGAGGCTCTTCTCTGTTGTCCCTCAGTTACATCTGATTCTTCATTATTCCTTCCAAACTCTTGCAGGCTCTCTCATTCCATCACATTTAGAGTACGAAGCTTGTCTAAGCAGCTCCTGGGATGCAGACTGCCTGAAGTAGAACTCTTGAGTATTTTAGTTGTTGTTGGACTTGCAGTGCCTATAATGGATTGTAGAAGGAAATCGGTCAGTGTTGGCTGAGTGAGTGATGAAGCTGACAGAGGTCCATCTGAGGGAGGCTGTTGTAGTTGTTTCTGGCTTGGGATGAGTAGAGAAAGGCGGCTGTGCTCTGTAAGAGACCTAGGGCACCTCTGCCATTGTCACTGACAGGAGCGAGCACCCTTGAAATGCCACCTTTCATGCCAGGTTGCAACAGATGTTGTGGTTACACATGAGCATATGTATTGAATTTGGAAGATCATTTGGTTTGATTTCCTTTGGTAAGAGTAAATAGTAAGATCTTTAGTAGAAAAGAAAAAAAGATCTTTACTGGGAAGCATCCCCTTTTTAATGCTTGCATTGTTACTATTTCTGCCTTTTTTTTTTTCTTTGTTAAGTAACAATGAAGGAGGGCGGGTATTTTGCCTAGCAGTTCAGTCACCTGCTTGGACACCTTAACCCACATCAGAGTCCCTGGCTTCCAAAGGGAGGTGCAGATAGTGAGTCGAGGAACTGAGTTCCTGCCACCCACATGGAAAACCTGGGCTGCTCCCCAGCTCCTGGTTTCACAGCTGGCACTGAGGGAGTGTGCCACCAGAGAGTGCTTCTCTCAGACATATATAAGAAAAAGTAACCGGAAGTTACAGTGAATATAAAGGCCATCACTTCTAGCCTGGAGTTAGTTTTGTTTATGGCATCTTTTGATTAAAAAAGAACTTAATTTTTGAGAAGGCTAAAATTTGGTTTGGAAGCGCTGTTTTGTTTTTTTAAAGATTTATTTTATTTATTTATTTTGATTGGAAAGTCAAATATACAGAGAGGAGGAGAGACAGAGAGGAAGATCTTCCCTGAATGATTCACTCCCCAAGTGGCCACAATGGCTGGAGCTTGAGCTGATCTGAAGCCAGGAGCCCAGAGCTTCCTCTGGGTCTCCCATGTGGGTGCAGGGTCCCAAGGTTTTGGGCTATCCTTGACTGCTTTCCCGGGCCACAGGCAGGGAGCTGGATAGAAAGTGGAGCCACCAGGATATGAACCAGTGCCCATATGGGATCCTGGTGTGTGCAAGGCGAGGACTAGGCTACTGTGCTGGGCCTGGAAGCACAGTTTTCGTGTTGCCATAATCTTATGTATGTCATTTGGGTTAAAGGTTCTTATTTCTTGGGATGCATGGGTGAAAATTTTATATGTTTATTTATTTATTTATTTTAGAAAAAAATTATCTAGAACTACATTGTTCAGTGTGACTGTGTAAATTAAAGTTTTGTAAAATTGAATAAAAATGTAAAATTCAGGTACTACACCAGCCATGTTTAAGTGCTTTTAAAAGCCACAGGTTTTATTTTGTAACTGAAAGTTATATAGAGAGAGAGACAAGGAAAGAGAGAGAGAGAGAGATTTTCCATTTTCTGGTTCACTGCTCTAATGGCTTCAGTGGCTGAGCCTGAAGCGAAGAACCAGAAGTTTTTAAGTTTTGCCCATGGGTGCAGTGAGCCAAGGACTTGGGCCCTCCTCCAGTGTTTTCCTAGGCCGCTAGTAAGGAGCTGGATTGGTGGTGGAGCTGCCAGGATTTGAACTGGCGCCTCTGTGGCAGGCTGGCACAGCAGGTGGAGGCTTACTGTGCTGTGTCGTAGTTCTGGCTCCATCAAGTTCTTTTTAATTATGGTGGTCTGGAGCTTTCCTCAACCTTGAGAATCACTGTCGTCAGTGACTGTACATTAACTGAACAATAAAACAGTTATGTTGATAAATTGGCATATCTTTTAGCTGTCCTCTAGAAATTTTAATGAACTCTTTTTATCTTTAAAATGTTTTATTTTTGATGATGATTACACAGTTCAAGGATGCATACTCTTGTGGACATTGATTAGGGTGGGAAGGGTCATTGATTAGGAATAGGGGAAAGTAAATGACACCACAGTTTGCAGTTTTTTGTTTTTTTCTTGCTGTGTCTCGGGGAAGGGAGGAGAGAAGGGGAGAAGCTGCATCCTAACCACATCAGTTCCTGGGGGTGGGGAACGGCCTCCCAGTGTCACCCCAGAAGCCCCGATGTGCAGCATGCTCCGAGGATTCTTAAGTGGCTTTGATGGTTCTGAGATGCTGTTGATTTTGTTGCTCCAAGGATGAGGAAATCCTTCCAAGATCCATTGGCTGTCTAGTCCACCTTAGAGTCTCAATTCGCGCAGACACTTGCTGTTAAAACGTTTGGTTGGGAGAGTTGTCCAGATTTTTCTGCCCTCCGTCTCTGCTATGGCACTACATGTCCTCTGCAGGCCCCGGTGGACTGCCGTATCCCCCATGTGCCTCTGTGCATGCCATCCACTGCACTGTCTTCAGCAACTGTGAGACCCACTTCTGACACATGCACTCCTTGGTCAGACCACAGACCCAATTGTTGAATTCTCAGACCAATGGTCCTGTTGGGGTGAGGTGAGAAACCTCATCTGAAGTGACCCCCCTAGACTTGACTGCCGTGTGTGCTAGCCAGTATGGGGTCTAGCTCAGTCCATCACCCACACCAGCCTACACACACACACACGCACACGCACACGCACACACGGCAGTTGCTGTGCTAGTTCTGTTTCTAGTCCCATCTCTTAAGCAAACCAATGGACGCTGCGCCCCAGCCCAGCTGTGCTCACCACACACTGGGTTTTCATGTACACCAGTGGGAGCTGCAGCCCTGTCTGTGCGACCCCTAATAATGCCCACCAGGTCCGCCCCGGCCATGGTTCCTGCACATGCTGGTATGTGCAGCAGACTGGTCCAATTTGTCTCACACCCCATTTTGCTTTTGTACATACCAATAACTCCCCACTTTAAAAAGCAAACTTACATTAGAATATTTCACATTTAGAGATGAAAAATGTCTACATGTGACTGACTTAGTTTACTTACTGCGTAAAGTAAATGGCTGATGGCTGAAAGGTAACCCAAATGGCTGGTGGCTGAAAGGCACAAGGGCAGAAAACTGAACTTGGAGCAAACGGAGTTTGTGACCTGCAAAGCTGAAGAACCCTAGAAAGGATAGTTCTGGTCACAGCAGGCAAGAATAACTGTTTCCTGTCATTTTCTCTGCTCTTACTGCTCACTTTCAGAAATGCTTGAACAGGATTTATTTACGGGGAAGAAGTGAAGAACAAGGCATTCCTCTTGAATATTTGGAGAAGCTTCACTCTAAGCATGAAAGCTGGCTGTTGCACAGAACTCTGAAGTAAGACTTCCTTTTTTAAAATTATTTTTAAATTTTTTAAAATCTTACTTAGTTGATTAGGGTACAAAGGGTCAAGGGCTACAGGAAAGTGGGTAATACCATTGTTTCCACCCTAATATCACCTTTGTATCTAATACACCTAATATCCCCCTGTAGCTGGGGTTGGGGAGAAACGAAGGGAGAAGCTTTTTGAATATCTTTATCAAGTTTTAATCTAAAATTTTGAGCTATACTTAGCAACATGCAATTTTTTTCATTTAGTAATTTCATTGATATCTTCTAGAAAATTAGCTGTAGATTTGATTTTCTTGTTTGCAGTGAGTTCCTGTTTCCTTAAGGTTTTCATAAATAATATGTTCTGGTGGTATTTATTGACAGCATAATATATATATAATTTTACCTTAAATGATAAAAGAGAAATATAGCTATGTATGCCACTTAGGTATTCTTTTAGGAATAATAGTTTTTAAGATTTTTTTTTTGTATTAGAAAGGCAGATCAGGATTTATATATATATATATAGAGAGAGAGAGAGAGAGAGACACAAAAAGAAAGATCTTCTGTCTGTTGGTTCACCTCCTAAATGGCTGTAGTGGCTGGTGCTGAGCCAACCTGAACCCAGGAGCCAGAAGCCTCTTCCAGCTCTCCCACGTAGGTGCAAGGTCCCAAGGCTTTGGGCTGTCCTTGACTGTTTTTCCAGGCTACAAGCAGGGAGCTGGATGGGAAGTGGAGAAACTGGGGCATGAATTGGTTCCTAGAAGCACCCCTGGTGCTTGCAAGATGAGGATTTAGCCTTTGAGCCATCATGTCCAGAAAGAGTTTCTTTCTTTCTTTCTTTTTTTTTTTTTTTTTTTTTAGATTTATTATTTTATTTGAAAGGCAGATTTACACAGAGGAGAGACAGAGACAGAGAGAGAGGGGTCTTCCATCTGCTGGTTCACTCCCCAGATGGCCACATTGGCCAAAACTGAAGCCAGGAGCCAGAAACCTCTTTTGGGTCTCCCACATGTGTGCAGGGACCAAGGCACGTGGTCCGTACTCCACCGATTTCCCAGGGCGTACTAGGAAGCTGGATGGGAATGGAGTAGCTGAGACTATAACTGGTGCCCATATGGGTTGCTGAAGTTGCAGGGTGGAAAATTAACTTGTTTTGAGCTTCTGTGCTGGCTCCTAGATAGGATTTTAAGATCTAGTTTTTACTTGAAGGTTTATTTTTGGATGATTCAGTTACCCATGGCCTGCTATCCTCAAAACATATTAAATGGAATATTCCAGAAGTAAACAATCAGTTTTTAATTGCACAGCATTCTGAGGAGCATGATTAGAATCTGTCCAAGTTGGTTCAGCGTCGGCTGTGGAATCATCCCCTTGTCCCAGGTCTCCATGCTGCAGCCACCACTTGCCTGTTAGTCGCATTAGCTGATCTTGCTATCAAATCCAACGCTTGGATGTCTCAGTGCTGATGTTCAGCCAATCCCAATTTATTTAATAGCAGCCCCAAAGCACAAGAATAATGATGCTGGAAATTCAGATATGCTAAAGGGAAAACATGAAGTGCTCTTAAATAAAAACCAAAAAAACTCAAAAGAAAGGTGAGTGTTTCACTTAATGAAGAAAAACAAGTTATCCTCAAGTTATGAGGTTCTGTGATTCAAAGGAATTTTTTCTGTGTTAAATTATGACAGAAGAAAAAGAGTTTCATTCTAGTTTACTATTACATCTTGGACTATGAAATTTATAGCTGCAGCGTGTACGTGTCAGGTAAGAAGGAAAGCCATTAAATTTATGTATTTGGGTTTGTATTTGACAAAATACCGGTTGGAATAAGCCTGGGTACTATCTGTAATTTGAGGCAGCTCCAGGGGTCTTAGAGTGTTTCTCCTGTGGGTGAGGAACAATGTTAGGTATTTCAGATTTGATTCTTTGAATGTGACAGGAGAGGTGCTGTCACGTAGTTGTTGAGGGCAGGGATTGTCATGAGCCAGGTCGTGACTCAAGTGCAATCTCACTTAATAGTGTGTGATGTTGCACAGATGGACCCCCAAGGAAACTGTTGGGTGTATCTTGACAATAGGATGCTTTCCTCTGCCATGGTCCATACCTGCAATGTCAGGATACACTTAAGTAGCAAAATGATGGGCTTACGACTGTGTCTGGAGGACTACACCATTGTAATAATATAGTGGAAATCCGTGTGGGGAGGAGACGAAATCCTGAAGTCTATGGAACGGTATCATAAAATAAATGCATTAGTTAATTAAAAAAAAAAAAAAAGAAAACAAAACAGTGTGTGATCTGGCACAGCCATTGAGCTCAGAATGACTTTGGGGCTTTAGTTTTCTTCTCTCTAAAGTGTAAAAATATCTATTTTTTTATTACTTTGTTTTTGTGGAGACTCATGTGTCTCAGTGCATGGCTTTGCATATGTTTTACCTGAGATTTGTAGCTGCATAGACTGCCGTTCTGAGTGAGGAGGAAGGGACTGTCAGATGAGTACTGCTTGTGCAATGACTTTAGTGTTACACAATTAATACTTTGATTTTCCTATGATAGAAATTTTTAATGTTTGCATTTCAGTATTGCTTTTCTGATTATTCTGTTCATCTCCTTTTAAACAGGACCAACTTTGATTATCTGCAGGAGGTGCCTATCTTAACCTTGGATGTGAATGAAGACTTTAAAGACAAACATGAAAGTATGGTTGAAAAGGTATGCTTGGACAAAAAAACTGTATTATTTATAATCTCTAGAAGAATGTTCTAGAGAACCTTTTCTGATAGACAAGGTCATGCAAGAGACAGTGAACAGGTGACGTGTACTTGAGACTGTTAACAGAGTCTAAATCTGACTTTAAATTCCAGCTTGGTGACCTGGGCTAAAATAAGGAGCTCTTTCATCCTTTTCTCCATTTCCATTATCTGTAGGATGGGGATGATAGCAATGAGGACTGTTCTTTTTTTAATGCTTTCTCTGCTTTCTCCCTTTTATTTACTATTCTTCCCATAGCACCTATATTTAGAGATTTTAACAATAAACTTATCTTTTTTGAACAAAATCAATCCAGAGGATGTTGAAAGGTGTAAAATATGGATTGCTTTTATTCTGGGCTGAAATCCTGAGAGTAAAAGATTGAGTTTTGGATTTCATTTTGAACCATAAAGCATGAATTGACATTGCCTATTCTTTGAGTCAGTATTAATTTCTTCCTTAGCTCATTGGGAATTGATTGTCTATTTTTTTCAGTGAGTGGTTATCTGTACTGATTGAGGGACTGGCAGATAATCCATTAACGTACATTTAAGCAAATAGTAAGGGGAATTGTTCCATGATTATTCCTTTATACTCATTAACTAACTTAGTGATCTGTGATCTTAAGAAATTACAACTTCTTTTTCCTTAGTTTTGAGGAAAAGCTGATTTTCTTTTTCTTTCTCTTGTTATGAAATGACTGCTGTGTAATATAATAGGGTCTTGACATTCATAAGGGTGTATATTTCCAGAATTCTAAAATTCTCAAAAATTTTACATAGATACTATAGCACATAGTTCTTTCCCCCAATATAGAGTAAAGCCTATTTGGAAACTTGAAGTGACATCTTTTTACAAGTCAGTATTGTCAAAAACATAGATTGAAGTTGCTTAAGAGACTATAAAAATAAATTTGTCAACCTTTGTACAACTAACACCTCACTGTTAACTGAATCTGTGAATCCCTTTTGAAATTTTATTCAATGTTTTTGCTAAGAATTATGTCATTTATTTTTACTTTCATTGAAAATGCTATTTTTCAGTTACATTCACAAGACAGTGACTTTTGTGCTTTTCAGAGGATTTTTATGTAGCCTGTAGTAAGGATGTGAGAACAGCAGTCCAGCCTTGTGCTGACGCTGGCAGAGGCTTACTCATGCACCGGGTCCATGATTTTCCCCATGCTCTATCGTCGGTGCTCAGACACTGCAGAGCTGCTGTCCGTCTCACCTGGAAGGCTTTGTGAGCTGCAGTGTTTAGTAATGGTATCAGTGTTAAGGCTACATCAATGGCCTGTGGCATTTAAATGAACAGATTATAAAACTAATGTTTGGCTATTTTAGAGCTATTTCAGTTAAGATATTAAAAGAAATCACTTCTGAGTTTTTGGGGCCTTTTAGACCATTCATATTTTACTACTGAAGTATTTAACAGTGTTTGTTGGGAAAGTAAATTATATGGCATTATTACAGAGTTACCTCTAGTTGGGTATGCACTTTTTTTTTTTAAAGATATATTTATATGTTGGGAAAGCTGAGTTACAGAGAGGGAGCAGCAAATGCAGAGACAGCATCTTCCATCTGCTGCCTTACTCCCCCAAATGGGTGTGTTGGCCAGGGCCGGGCAGGCTGATGCCAGGAGCTTTTTCCAGTTCTCGCACGTGGGTTCAGGGACACAAATGTTTGGACCTTATTCTGCTACTTTCTCAGGTCATTAGTAGGGAACTGGCTCGGGAAGTGGAGCAGCTAGGACTCAAACCAGGGCCTGTATGCGATGCTGGCACTGCAGGCAGGAGCTTAACACACTGTGTGACAACTTTGGCCCCAGATTTACATTGTTAGATGAGCTGATTATAAGATATGAACAATTTTCAGAAAGTTCATAAATCACGTACTATTAAAAAAATGCACGAATTTCAAAATATTTTTACACTCAAACCTATTTTTTTAATTTTATGTTTTAAGGTACCCTAATTTCAAATTAGTCAGGGAATGGTAATAATATTGTTTCTCCCCTCAGGTCAAAGACTTTTTGAGTACTCTGTGATCTTGCCGAAGATGCATTTGGCCCTGATGGATTCCAGTGACTCAGCTCAGCGTATCTTCATAGCTCTGTGTTCATACAGGTCTTCAGGAAACCCAAGTTTTTAACCATTTTTATTCCAAGAAAAAGGTAGCACTCATGAATTCCATGTAAAGTTTTATGATCTATATCTTTTATTTTTTCCCCCTTCCTGCCTTCTTTCCTTTCCCTTTCCTTTCCCTTTCCCTTTCCCTTTCCTGATTTCCCTTATTCCTCTTTGTTTAAAATAGCAAAAGCATTTAATTATTCGTCACAGTAGGAAGTCTGCAGATAGTTGATTCTACCATCAGTACAGTGGTGAAGTTGTATGTTCCACAGACTCCTTCTGTCCTTCCCCAAATGCTCTTCCGCAGCAGGGTTTCTGTTTATTTTTATTTTCCATGGTGCTTCTCACTTCCCTGGTGACCATATCCTTAATTGGTAGTTTTATTGTAACATAGTAAATGGTGTGTGTCCTATGGAAATTATTATACCAATTAAAAGTTGAGAAGTGGAATTTATGGAAGTACAAGAATAAGGAATCTGATGTTTGTATTTTAACGTGTTTTTTTTTTTTTGATCAGATGCTTCCATTCCACCTTAATTTATATAGATATGGCCAAGTTTAGTATTTAATCACCTCACTGATATTAATAGGGCTGCCACCACCTTGTGGAGCACATTTAGTTTGTGCTCAGGTTGAGTGGGTCTTCCAAGTCTTTCAGTATTTCTCTTAACCTTTATTTTTGGTTCATAATAAGAGTAAACCTTTGTCCATACTTACATGTCATTTTGGATTACTGAAAAAGAAATCTTGACAGATAACTGAAAGTTGTTATGTAACAAAAGACTGAGTTTACATGAAGCTTAAAGTTGCTACCTGCCTTTTCCCTCTCAGACTATTATTTTTGCATAGAAATTATTGTGGTTAAACAATGTGTTTGCTCTGCGGCTGAGCATGGTTTTTCGTAGGTCTCTGACCGTAGCGGGACTCTGAGGGGCACATGGTATATAGGAAGTCTTCCTGTGGCTTTCCTGGGGTTCTGTACTGGAACTGTGGCTCCTGCTGGGTGAGAAAGGAGCAAATGAAGCTGTAGTCCATCACCTTCTTAGCAGTTCGGTCCATCGAGTCTTGCCTTTCCTATCCTGCCTCGTGCTGCCATCGGGGCCTGGCTGTTTTAAAGTTGAAATATCAATCACATAGTTTACACTGAAAGCATTGTGATCGCTCCTCGCTTCATAGCTTGCTTTATTTTGTATTGTTTGGCCTTGTTTCTGCCTTTTGGACAAGCAGGTGATAAAAAGTAATTTTGCTTTTTATGTGATATATCATTGAAGTATTACCATTTTTTTTTATTGAACATTTATAAATGCTAGGAGTTTGAAACCTCCATTAATATGTCACACATAATCTCAAAACGCCTTATGTGAATAATTGTATAACTGCTTGGATTTGTCTTAGCTCTGTATATGACTAAAGGGATTTTGTAAGGTATTTAAAAATACCATTGTATTTAACTTTTTTATTTTAATTTTATGTTTTAGAAAAACTGTGCTTTTTGGAATACGATTTTATTTTGAAACTACCCTTTTCCTTCCTAAAATGTCATCTTTTATATTTTGTTTCTTGTTCAAAGATGATAGTTTCTTTTTGGATTAATCGGTCTAAAGGCACTGACATTGAAACAGTGACTTAGTTTTAAATAACTTAATATTTAAGCTTTTCTTCTCTGTCTTTTTGGCTAGGTTTTTTTTTTTGTATACATGAGTTTGTCAATTTTATTACATGTTTGTTAATAAATAAGTTCAATTCTCATGAACTCTAAGGAAGGTGCATTCAATAATCTGTTTGGAATTAAAAGTGTGTTCCATTCTTGAAGAAAAACATAAAAATAAAAGATGTAAACAGGTTGCATGTTACATTGATTCTATTTCAAATGGAATCTTAACTCGGTGATTTTCAAAAGCCTTTAAAATGTGTAATGACTTCATCTGTAGGATTGGAGTACGCTAATAAAAATGTACTGTTTATTTATGATGACTGAAAGCTGTACTGATGTGGTAAAAAGAGACTGTTTTATTTTGGATCCGATTGTCCCTGTATTCCATTACCTTCCCTCACTGTTGCTCTGTGTAAGTGACTTTGTTGTGTAAGATTTGTTGGCTTTGTCCAGACTGAGTTCTTCTGCATCGGAAGCTTTGAGCCTTATGTAACGCTGCCTAGAGATGAGGCCTGTCATGTTCTACAGAACCGAATCTCAGAGTCTTTTTAAAGTGGTGCTATAAATTTTGCAACCTCCAGAAAGTTGATAGATTAAGTTGTTTATAAATGCATGTGCTGCTATAGCGGTGTAGCATAGTAAGCTGGACAACTGTGACGCCAGCTTCCCACATGGGTTTGAGTCCCACCCACGTGGGAACCGGAGACAGTTCTTGGCTGCTGGCTTCCGCCTGGCCCAGCGCTAGCCACTGTGGCCATTTAGAGAGTGAATTAGTGGATACAAGATTGTCTTCCTTGTTCCGTGTCCTCTCTGTAACTCTGCCTTTCAAATACATAAATAAATGTGAAAAAAAGTCAAATGGTTAACAAATCCTGAAAAATAGTAACCTTTATCTGACAAATGTTGCTTTCAATAATTTTGAAATAATTTTAGGTATAATGAAAGTTGCCCATCGTCTGGTTATCCCCCATGGGAACACAGTAGATAAGTGCAGTATATACCCTAACCAGAATATTGCTATTAGTTTCTGGCTCATGGCAAAACTGATTAGAAAGTATGGCGGCAGACAACCATCCTAGAGGCAGCTTCATTTCTTTCCAATATTCATATCTTTTACTTATTTATTTTGTCTAATTACATTATCTAGGATTTCCATTGGCATTTATTTAAGATTTATTTTCATTCCGAAGACAGATTTTACAGAGAGAAGGAGAGACTGAGAGAGATCTTCCATCTACTCATTCATTCCCCAAGTGACTGCAGTGGCTGGTGCTGGGCCCATCCAAAGCCAGGAGCCAGGAGCTTCTTCTGGGTCTCGCAGGTAGATGCAGGGGCCCAAGGATTTGGGTCACTCTGTTTTTTTCCCAGGTGATAAATAGGGAAGCTGGATCAGAAGTGAAGCAGCTAGGACAGGAACCTGTGCCCCTCTGGGATGCTGGCAGCACAGGTGGAGACTAAGCTTACCACACCACAGCTAGGAGCTCCATTAGCATTCAGTTAATGTTGACAAGCAGTGATGTAAGAAGACAAGAAGACACCTTTGCTGTGTATTCCTGATCTTAACGGAAGCATTTTGAGTTTCTCACCATTAATGCTTATAATATTCCTGTAGGTTTTTCGTGGATGTTCTTTATCAAATTGAGGTAGTTAGTAGCCTCCTATCCCTAGTTTGCAGAGTTTTTTTTTTTTTTTTTTTTTTAAGATTTATTTACTTATTCAAAAGGCAGAGTGACAGAGGTTTCTACCTTCACTTTCCAGATGGGTGCAGTAGCAGAGCCTGAGCCAGGCTGAGATGAGGAGTTAGGCATCCAGATGTCCCAGGCCTCTTGAATGGGTAGCAGGAACCGCAGTGCTTCTGCCCTCATCCACTGCTTCCCAGGCACCTTAACAGGCACTGGGTGGCAAGCGGAGGGGCCAGGACCCGTTGGCCTTCCCATTTGGGATGTGGGATACCCAAGTGTTAACTGTGTCACAGTGACTGCCATGAAAGGATGTTGGGTTTTGTCAAGTGTTTTTTTCAAAAATGTGAATAAAATTGTGATAACCTGTTGAATGCAGTTTCTTACGTTGACTGAATTCTGAGCCGTGCCTACCAAAGATGATGAATGCCACTTGATCATTATTTATAATTATTTCCATATGTCGAATCCAGTTTGCTAGAATATTTTGAGGTGTCTGTTCATAAGAAACACTATCTGCATTCTCTGGTAAATATGTGTGTCTGATTTTAGTGTTGTTATACTAACTTCCCAGAATGAAGTAAATTTATTTTCTCTGCTTCGGTCTTCAGGAGATTGTAGAAAATTGATCTTTTTATTTTGCTTAAGTGTTTAGTAGAATTCGCGCAGTACACCAGTCTGGACCCAGTGCTTCCTGTATTTCATAGTAAATAATCATTGATTTTACTTTTTAGAAAGATTTATTTATTTACTTGAAAGTTACAGAGAGGAATAGGGATAGACAAAAAGAGTGAGAGATCCCCCGTCTGCTGTCCATATGGCCAGGGCTGGGTTAGGAGTGGAACAGCCGGGGCTCGAACCAACACTGCTATAGGATGCCAGTGTCCGGCAGCCACTTAACATGCTATGACATAACAACAGCCCCTGAAACTACAAACTCGTGGAGCTAGTCATAGTTTATGCTAATATCATATAAAAGTATATATAGACATGAGTTTCTGGTGAAAAATCCTCTATCAAGTATTCCATTGATTTGTTTCTTTGCCTTTCTTGGGGAGGGGAGACAAGGATTCTCACTTGCTGATTTATTTCCCAGACGCCCAGAATAGCTGGGGCTTGCTGGTTAGAAGCCAGGGGTCTACTCCCAATCCACACCCCGGGGGGCTGGGCAGAGACTCCAGTGCGTGAACTGTCATGCACTGCCCTACACAGAGCCTGTACGTCAGACACGCAGCTGGCAGTAGAAGATGCAGCACTCAGACTAGGATCTGATACGGCAGTGTCCGAAGTGCCGCCTTAACCATGGGCAGGTGCCCATCTGAAGGCTTTTCTAGCTCGAAAATTTGAGCCTTCATCAGGTGAGCCTTAGCTGTGAATGCCAGTTCAGGAGAGGTACAGTGGCACAATGAAATATCAGATGATTACCACAGTGATTAGATAAGCTGCAGCCGGATGCTGGAAGCTATAAGGCAAACTACCTCATTGAAGGAATTGCAAAGAAAAAAACACTAAAAGAGAATGTGTATTCTGTATGATGCGGACTGGAGTTAGCTACAACGGGTTGTTTGATAGTATTGCAGAGTTGAGCAATGCTTTAATGATTTTCTGCCTGCTAGAAACGTTCAGTGTTAATAGGAGGGTTTAACATGTGCAGTTACAGTGTACCCAACAGAGATTTGATTCTCACTTGATCATGACAGTATTTAATACT